AGTAGACAAACATTTTATAGAACTAAAACTACACTTGTAAAACCGACTTCACAAAACCTTAACCTCGGCATTTCTCAACCACGGCTAGGTGGAACCTCCTCAAGGTAGTGACAAATAGGCCAATTCCAATATATAAATGTATTTTTCGAGTCATTTTTGTGTAATTTTTCTCATTTAACTAGCATCTAGAGCAAAGACAAAAACCCTGTCCTTTCAGGTGTCAATGGATACCATGTGTGTTTAGATAAAGTACGATCAAGAATTATTTTAAGTTATGCCGTAGGTCGGCGTTCAATCCCCGACTGTCCAAGTGGTTGGGCACCATTCCTTTCCCCCGTCCCATCCCAAATATCCTGACCGCATCCAAGTGCTATATAGTTGTAATGGCTTGGCACTTTCCCTGATAATTCCCTTCCCCCTTCCCCCTCCCATTGAGAATGCCTGCTTTAAGCAAACTAATCAATTTAATGATGTCACTTTGAAAGAATAATCTGACCAGTGTTTGTTAGTGTGGCAGGGTTAAGTCTTCTCTATCACAGCATTCAAATCATACAATTTATCTTAAGATTGCCCTAATATACATAAACTTTTACAAAACACAACAGCAACATCTGTTTTGAATTAATTTTCACTTGGTATCGATACAGTCATTGGACTGATTAATACGTTGCAACAAACAATACAGAAAAATAAAATAGTTCTTATGCAGAAGCATGTTCATGAAATTTGTTCTGATGTTCCTTTAATTTATCCCCCCTAGGGAATGTCTGTCCACACTTCTCGCATACGAATGGCTTCTCACCCGTATGAAGGCGTACATGGCGACGCAAGTTATTCCTTTTCAGAAAAGCCTGCCCACAAATATCACATATATGCTTTCTGTCATCTACATGAATTTTAATATGAGCTTTCAGGCTTCTATTTAACTTAAATTTTTTCTGACAAATTTCACAGACAAAATTTCTTTCAGCTTCATGAAGCCTCTTGTGCTGCCAGAAAGTACCAGTATTTCCAAACGTTTTACCACAATCTTTGCAAATATATGGACGATCACCCGTATGAACATTCATATGATCATTTAAAGTTTCAATTTTATTAAAACCTTTATTGCACTCGGAACAATAATGCCTGTATTGGCCTGTATGCTTAGACCTGTGATCCTCAAGAGCTTGTTTGTTTTCATATCCCATTCCACAAACCTCACAAATACAAGCATACGACCCTTCATGTTTGTTTTCATGTGTAAGCCATTTTTGTTTTCCTATAAATTTCATTAAACAGTGTTTACAAGTGTAACGATCACCATCATGTTTGAGAAGATGGTCTTTCAAGGAATGTCTTTGACGAAAACTAGTCCCACATTTATCACAAATATACGGCCTAGCATTACTATGCAATTTTGTATGTTTATTCATATTACTGCGATTTCTGAAAGTTTTATTACATATCGGGCACTCGTACATTTTAATACTGCACATCTTGTCTGGAGCTTCAGAAAAATTTAAGTCAACATTAACATTTTGTTTGACACACTTTTCAAATTTAAGAGGATTCTGAACTTCCCCATCAGAGCTATTTCTAATGCTATTTTCATTTAATTCTAGATTTATTTCCATCTGTTTATGTACCAATACATGACTTTTCAAGGAGGAGACATTAAACATTTCCACTGATTTTACACCAGCTAATGTTAATGGTGTTACTGTACTAAACTGTTCATCCACTGCTCCCTCTTTCACCTTATCTCCAGTAGTTCTGTTGATTTTAGAGACACTGGCAGCATCAAGACTTCCCTGGAAGATGGAGAAGGACCTATGACAAGTTGACAATGTCCTCCATCTTTCAGATCTCCTCATAATCTTGTTTATTTGCTAATAGGCATAACAGATGTCTGTATTCCAAGAACTAATAGCAAAGATATGTAGGAAATTAGCAACAAGTTGTGTTTAATTTAAGGGATGAAGAAAATATATACACTAGATGGTACTCTCTAACTCATCTTTCAATAAGGAAAAGTACTGAACATTCTTTACATAAATGTTTGCATTTTTTGGCCTCGGTTGTAGATTACTCGTGAAATGTCCAAGATTTTTCTGGTTCTACAAAAAAATTTTGTACCTTAAGAATGTTTGTTATCTTTTTCAACTACAAAGATCAAGCTGACTGGTGTTAAATAGAAAATGCCATCTACAATGTTTACTGTCAAGTGACAACTTGCTGTTGGTGTCCAATACAGTATCTATCTCGAGGCAAACCAACAAAATCACTAGAGAAAGGAGGGAGAAGGAGCATGTTCCTAAAAATTATATCCCGTACATAGATGTGATCTAACATAGATGGAGTGAGATAAAAAATACTGGAGCTAAACAATATAATATAGCTGAAGAGGCCAGACATTGTTGCAATAACAGAAACAAAACTCAAAGATGATATTTAAACGAATTCATGTTCCCGATTGGCTACTTAATATGGAGATGGGACAGAAAAATTAGGAAATGTGGAGGCATTGCTGTGCTGGTGAAAGAACACCTAAAGGTAAATGAAATAATGATTGCCAATCCATGAGAGGTTGACATAATAACACTGGAGTTTTGTAATCAATATGATAAACTAATAATCATAAATGCTTATAGTCCACTTGTATGCAACAATTCAGTTCTTACACGGGTAATGTTCATTGTCTACATAAACGACCTACCAGAAGGAATACAGAATTATATAAACATGTTTGATGATGTTAAGATACTAGGGTAGATAAAAAACTTGGATGATTGTCATGCCTTTCAAGAAGACATGGCCAGTGTAAGAATATGGAGAATCACTTTGCAAATGGAATTTAATGTGAATAAATGCCATATTATGAAATGTGGAATAGGAGAAAATAAACCACACACACACAACCTGCAAATTATGTGAAAAAGCTTTAAAAAATTATGATACAAATCTAGGTGTACTGTAGTTCTGGACAGAAAACTGTCACCCGAGGATCTCATAAAGAACATTGTGCGAGGAGCCTATGCATGCTTTTCAATTACAGGATTGCATTTAAATACATGTATGTGAAAGACTGTACTTAAGAAATTATTCACGGCCTTTGTGAGACAAAAGTTGGGATATGCAGCAGTTGTATGGTGCTCATATCTTAAGAAGCACATCAAAAGGAAAAGATGCAAAGACATGCAATTAAATGGCTTCTGGAACTGAAAGACAAGAGCTACGAGGAGAGGTTAGAGGCATTAAATATGCCAAAACTAGACAGACAAAAAAAGAGGCTAATTGATCACTATGTACAAAATAGTCACGGGAATCGACAAAACTAATAAGGAAGAATTCTTTAAGCCTGGACTTCTAGAACAAGAGGTCATAGATTTAAGCTAACTAAACAAAGCTGCTGAAGAAACATAAGAAAATTCACTTTTGCAAACAGAGTGGTAGATGGTTGGAACAAATTAAGTGAGGTGGTTGTGAAGGCCAAAATCATCAGTAGTTTCCAAGCATTATACGACAGTGTTGGGAAGACGAGACACCATGAGCAGTGTTCTCGCCCTGTAACTACACTTGGGTAATTACATATTTTTCTTGTCATTAATATTTTATTGAAAATGTAAGGTTGAATTTAGTACAGTACAAGATAAAACTCACATTTATGTATTTGTGTATTTTAAGTAAAGATTTGAACTACAGTACTGTACAGTCTTTCACACTATCCGGAGTGCATTATCAAGGTCTGAGCATATGGTTAGGATGAGACTTGCATCTCAACGACGAATCAATTACATTGCAGTCTTTGATTAGGCACTGGGATACAAGTCTCATCCTAACCATATACCCAGACCTTGATAATTCACTCAGGAGAGTGCAAAAAACTTGGTGTAGTTCAAACCTTTGCATAAAATACACAAACACTTGTACTAGTTGGATCTAGTACTGTGACTAATCTTAATTTCATGCTCTCACGTATAACATACAGTATAATATTTCTGGCATTCTCTGCAATCTTATGTAATTTACATAGTCCACAGAATTATTTGTTATTTTAATATAAGAAATTTAAAATAATTTTTACACACAATTAGCTCTGCAAAATTATCCTGCATCCAAGCTAGCATTACTTTTATATTATTATTAAATTTCTTGGGATACTGTCAAATTTTAATGCAATTTAATTTCTGTCTGCTTTACATCTCCTGAACAGTGCTTACCTATCAATTCAAACAAGTTGCATTTGAGGTCAACTTTGCAATGACTACATACTACTAGCTCTGTCCTCTTGGTTGCTTATGCAATGTATGACATACTACACAATTTCTTCTCATACACCACTGACCAAATTCATTATCAATTTACTTGTCATAATGCATTGAACTTCTTTAATTAATAGAAGGTAGGAGCAAGCATTTCATGTTGGTGATTTCTATCAGTAATGCATGATTTTTCCCAATATCAAGTACCAGTCCCCCCCACAGTTTTCCTAAAACACTCTGTGCCGAGTAAAACACACACATTATCGTATTTGCAGTATCTTCATTAACCCAACTTTGTTACTTTGGATTTTTGTTTAGCTCACATTAAAATTACAGCTGTACAGCATTAATAAGTAATAACATTATTGGTTAACACACCAATTATGGAAAAAATGACATGTTTTGGGAGCGGGTAACCATAAATATATTTGGTCTTACAGAGTTGAAAACTACAGCAGCAGCTGTTAGTCTTCAGTCTAATGATAAACTGTTTATGACATGCATAAATAATAATGAAAAATTTAGTCACTGTGCAGTGCTCCCATTTTTTACTTTCAAATCATACAACACTACCAGTACTGTTAAGAGTAGATGGATATTGTTTTGTTTTACAATGAATACAATGAGCATTATTCAATTAGTGTTTAATTATATCACTAGCAGTCATTGCAAGATTCTGTACCATACTTAATTTTGAGAACATTTCATCTACTAACAGTAACTGTTAATGCACATTACAGAAAGAAAATTCCTTACTTTGGGTTTGGCTGCATCTTTCCGAGGACGTCCTCTCTTTCTTTTTGTTGGTCCACTTGATTCTTTTAAAAAAAAAAAAAAAAAAAAGTTATTAGGCAATTATATTATGTTATCCAAGCAAAACAGAGAGTACATCACAATAATGTGGCTGAAAATTAATCACCCAACCTACACATATGGAAAAGCCGAGGTGACTATGTTTCAGTTCATTCTGGACTATTTAAGTCATGTCCAATATATTTCCCATCAAAATGCAAGAGGAGATTTAGAAAATCACTCGCACTCTCATCCCCCTATAACATTACCCCTTCACAAAAACACATTATAAAGAACAATATAAAGAACAATATAATATAAACACATTATAATGACTTTTCTGTGAACTCCTAAACACACTGAAGATCGACAACCCAAACAAATTCTTCACGATCATAACACCACCACCCTCGACTCATATCTCAGATATCACCCTAACCCCTCTGGACTTTGAAGTATCCTAAGACAGCTCAGTTAGATCATACACCTGAGTGTGTAATGCAAGCTAAAGTACAAAAGACATTAAATAAGAAAATCATATGCTTTCCATATCAGATAGATTTAGTATGGAGAATAGATAGGTGATAAATTTTAAAAAATCCGAATTTCATGAAATGCTTTGCTTTTTATTTGAAATATGGAAGATACTCAAAAGTAAACAATAGATTTTAAATTTTTGAACGTGTAATTTTTCAAGAAATGGTCAATCTCGCATTTTCATGAAATTGATTATGATTAAAACAGAATTTGAGATGCTACAACTTGGCCAACTTCAAGACACAAAGAGAGAACAAGTTACCAGATACAGGTAATCAACCTTAGTAATTTATATGGAATATTGTTTTAATGTCAGCAAGTGACCCAACACTGGCTTGTAATCCCAAGGAAGTAAAGAGTTGACTAGGTAACCTGACACTAGATTATTATGTATTTGAACATTATAACACTGTTGAAAATATTACAAAAATATAGTATAATATATGCAGGCAAGGAGTCACAATAACATGGCTGAAGTATGTCGACCAGACCACACACTAGAAAGTGAAGGGATGACAACGTTTCGGTCCGTCCTGAACTATTCTCAAGTCGATTAGTATAATAAAATACACATTCATATACTGTACTAATGAGACTTCCTTAGAAATGTGCGACATCATGCCCTGGCTGCTTACTAACATTGAGGTAGCCAGTATCTTGAATGCCGTGTCCATTCACTGATAAGCTTCTTATAATTCATTCCACGGGTTTTCCCAAAAAACATATTACATGCAATTTTCATAACAAAAAATGAAGCTAAATTGGCTGAGGGGAGATGATTCAAACCTAAATTAAGAAAAAATAATAAGGAAAACTTAAGATGAACTATACCAGCATCAACTGCCTCCCTCTTTATTCTGGGCTTCTTAAATTCTGGCTCCCATTCTTCATCCTGAGTACTGCGATCTTCTCGGTGGTCATTTTCTTCCTCCATCAAGTCTTCTACTCGAGGTTCAAAATTTTCATCCATCTCTAACCCAAGAACTTGTTCATCTTCATCTTCTGGCTCAACCTATGAGTACAATAGAATCATCAATTTTCAATGGTTGTATCCACTTTTAATACCAATAATTAAAATTAAATCAATACTGCAAGCTTTAAATCAAAATGATAAGGCTTTCAATAAATGACATAGTAATCTTGCAAAAAAATAAATAATAAAAAGCATGACATGAGGTATACATGTCTACTAAAAATAAAGATCCACACCTTAGGGAACACATAATCAGTTTTCTTGGCTGTTGCAGGTTTTCTTCTTCTAGCTCGTCCTCCATAGACTGCAACAGTTTCCTGGTACTTGTTGACTATCTCCTCTTTTGTATCACGAATTTCCACCTCCAATGAGTCTACTCGGTCAAGGAGGCCAAAGCACCGGTGACACATGATATCACTGTGAGCCTGAGTGAAACAAAAAGTATAAATGAAATAAGTAACACTAAATAATCTAAATATTGTTTACTCTTATGCTTTTATACAGTACAGTACCTACTTTGAAATAATCATATCATTAACTAAAAAATTCTCTATAACAATGATATTCATTTACCTTTTATGCAGTGCTACACAAAAATAGTATCAAGTGCAATGAAATGCCAGTTCTGGACCGTACCCGATAAGCACTTGCGAAACAAGTGCTTCGCAAGCACTTTGGCCTGGGTTTATATCCTGGCCGGGGAGGATCGACTGGGTGCCAATCCTTAACTGTAGCCTCTGTTCACCCAGCAGTGAATAGGTTCCTGGTTGTTAAACAATTTGGTGGGTCGTATTCCAGGGAAAATTTGGATTAAGAACCTGCCCCAAATGCTGTGTGTGCTAGTGGCTTTACAAGAATGTAAGAACTCTGTTCTCGTTCTTCTTGTTGAAAAAATAAAAACTAAATAAACCAAGAGTACTCCAATCATTTAACACAATGAATGCATAGGTTGAAATACAGGAATGGTGAGAGTAATAAGAGACAAAACAAACTCACCTTACGTGATGTAAGTTTTTGCCCGATCAGAGAGCCAAGAAAGACTGACATTTTTCTCTGAGTGGTCGTCGTCTGTGTTTTGAATACAAGAACTGGCTCTGTCGACTCTTCTGATGGTAGATCTACATTACATATTAAACAGTGTTGTCCCACAGACTCATCTGGCTCTTCTCCATCTTCTTCATCCACTCCCTCCCCCTCATCAATTATCTGTGAGGTTTTTGTCACATGTATAGAGTTTTGTTCACTAGTTTCTTCCTCAGGATTAGAAATATTTGATATCACAGGTAACTCATGTGTTCCCATGTGTGTTTCAGTCACAGTCTGTAAAATGTTCTTTGCACCATGTTCAACACTAATACTAGCATGTCCGTCACCAGGAACCACCAAAAGAGTACTGGTGCCATGGCGATCATCTTGGGTTTCCACTGAAGTCACCAAGGAAGAGTCCAGATCAGTGGCTTCCAAGGCGGAAGGATCCATGATCGTAATTGTAATGGCTTGGGGAGTATCGTGGGAGGACTCCCCAACCTCATCAATAATCTTTTTATCAGATGCCATGGTTTCTCACATACAGTTACTGAAAAAAATAAAAACTGTTAGTGATTTCAACATTGAAGGATTCAGACAACTGAACTATATACATTAAAAGTGTGGATAATTGCATGGATAATTAACTCTTAAACATTCAGTGTATGGTGCATGTGTGGGTATGGATTATACCTAAGGATTATCACTTTGATATAAAGTTTGCAGCATACAGTACCAACATTTCATGAAAAAATTATCTTTTATCATTACTGGTCAGACTAGACATTGTAAGGAAATTGAGAGATTTATTGTCTACGGAAGGAGAAGGGTCCTTGTAATTTCCATTTGCTGCAGTTCAATCATCAAATTTTCATTGGACAGTGTTTTTATCAGCTCTTATTGTATTGACAATAAGCAATTTTGTTATTCATTATAATCCTACGAGTGTTCTGAAATTATTCAGTCTTTATCATCATTATGTTTCATGCTACTTTAGAAAACGGGTTGTACAATGGGAAATGCACAGTGCTTTCTCAGGCCTAATTTAAGATTCATCCGAATAGCAAATCCAAAGCTTAAGTACATACAACAATACAGTACATGTTGTAAATGCATTTTCATTATTTATTTGACAAGCAGTACAACTCCATCATTCCAGGTAAATAATATGCTGTTTTTGTCCCAAAAATATTGTTTTCATGGTGATTTTTAGTGGTTCAGGAACATATCCCCCATTTATAGCTATGCTCCTGAGAGAAATCTCTATCCACATTCTGAACAAATGCTTTACAAACACCTTTTCAGAATGTAACCCACTCGTAGTTAGCAGACTCCCAGTAAACAAAGCAGGGGGGTTCTTAAATTGGAGTACATATATCCCTGGCACTCCCTAATGTGTATTATATAGCCCAAGGTTGCTCTAGTGCATATAAATAATGTGTTCCAAAGTTGATCTATTGATTATATCATACATTAAGTTCACTTAAAACACAGGAATAACCTTGGAACATATAAACACTAGAGAGAGAGCACCGGGGATACACATCCCATAGTCTTAAGAACTCCTGATATAAAAGCCAACATTACAAGCAACTAACGTCTTAGCAATCCTTAAATTTGACATGTACGGTATCCCTCAACACAAGACCCGCTACCATAGCCGTTGCTTACACGTTCATGCAGTAGGGAGTGTGGCAAGTGAGGCTCCGTGTCCCGGGTGGAGGCATATTAAGAGATCATCGAGTACAGGCACAGCAGCCACCGCTCCTCTCCACTGACGCCATTTTCCACCACAACAATGGCGTCCGTTCGATTCTGAATCAGTGTTTACATGTTGGCCTTTGACGTCATGATGACTACACTATATGTTATGATTTAATACAGTTATCTGTCTAATTGATCTTTATTTTTTCCGCAATATTTTTAAATTATGCACCAAAACAAATATATATTTATTTTCAATCATTCAAACTTCCGTTAACATTATTATCTTATCAGGAGTGCCACCCTCACCATCCTTTCAATTACCAACATCTGAATACTTTATTATATATATATATATATATATATATATATATATATATATATATATATATATATATATATATATATATATATATATATATATATATATATATATATATATATATATGTCGTACCTAGTAGCCAGAACGCACTTCTCAGCCTACTATGCAAGGCCCGATTTGCCTAATAAGCCAAGTTTTCATGAATTAATTGTTTTTCGACTACCTAACCTAACCTAACTTTTTCGGCTACCTAACCTAACCTAGCCTAACCTATAAAGATAGGTTAGGTTAGGTTAGGTACGGTTGGTTAGGTTCGGTCATATATCTATGTTAATTTTAACTCCAATAAAAAAAAATTGACCTCATACATAATGAAATGGGTAGCTTTATTATTTCATAAGAAATAAATTAGAGAAAATATATTTATATATGACAATGTCAGACCACGGAGGAAAAATGAAACAGGAAATTTCCTTAAGTACTTTCGTATATTAAATACATCTTCAGAAGGTCACCTTCTGAAGGACCTTCTGAAGATGTATTTAATATACGAAAGTACTTAAGGAAATTTCCTGTTTCATTTTTCCTCCGTGGTCTGACATTGTCACATTCTTAATCACGTGTTTATTTTCGTGATATACACACATATTTATATATATATATATATATATATATATATATATATATATATATATATATATGTCGTACCTAGTAGCCAGAACACACTTCTCAGCCTACTATGCAAGGCCCAATTTGCCTAATAAGCCAAGTTTTTATGAATTAATGTTTTTTCGACTACCTAACCTACTTAACCTAACCTAACCTAGCCTATAGAGATAGGTTAGGTTAGGTTAGGTAGGGTTGGTTAGGTTTGGTCATATATCTACATTAATTTTAACTCCAATAGAAAAAATTTACCTCATACATAATGAAATGGGTAGCTTTATCATTGCATAAAAAAAATTTTGAGAAAATATATTAATTCAGGAAAACTTGGCTTATTAGGCAAATCGGGCCTTGCATAGTAGGCTGAGAAGTGCGTTCTGGCTACTAGGTACGACATATATATATATATATATATATATATATATATATATATATATATATATATATATATATATATGTCGTACCTAGTAGCCAGAACTCACTTTTCAGCCAACTATTCAAGGCCCGATTTGCCTAATAAGCCAAGTTTTCCTGAATTAATATATTTACTATAATTTTTTTCTTATGAAATGATAAAGCAACCCTTTTCTCTATGTATGAGGTCAATTTTTTTTATTGGAGTTAAAATTAACGTAGATATATGACCGAACCTAACCAACCCTACCTAACCTAACCTAACCTATATTTATAGGTAAGGTTAGGTTAGGTAGCCAAAAAAAGCTAGGTTAGGTTAGGTTAGGTAGGTTAGGTAGACGAAAAAACATTAATTCATGAAAACTTGGCTTATTAGGCAAATCGGGCCTTGAATAGTAGGCTGAGAAGTGCGTTCTGGCTATTAGGTACGACATATATATATATATATATATATATATATATATATGTCGTACCTAGTAGCCAGAACGCACTTCTCAGCCTACTATGCAAGGCCCGATTTGCCTAATAAGCCTAGTTTTCATGAATTAATTATTTTTCAACTGCCTAACCTACCTAACCTAACCTAACTTTTTCTGCTACCTAACCTAACCTAATCTATAAAGATAGGTTAGGTTAGGTTAGGTAGGGTTGGTTAGGTTTAGTCATATATCTACGTTAATTTTAACTCCAATAAAAAAAATTGATCTCATATATAATGAAATGGGTAGCTTTATCATTTCATAATAAAAAAATTAGAGAAAATATATTAATTCAGGAAAACTTGGCTTATTAGGCAAATCGGGCCTTGCATAGTAGGCTCAGAAGTGCGTTCTGGCTACTAGGTACGACATATATATATATATATATATATATATATATATATATATATATATATATATATATATATATATATACATATATATATATATATATATATATATATATATATATATATATATATATATATATATATATATATATATATACCCTTGTACACAAATGTGTACATTTGAGAGTTACCCCTGTACACAAATGTGGTGATCTCACAGATGTTAACAACTACAGACCTATATCAATCCTGCCTAACTTGTCAAAAATTTTTGAAAAACTAATCTACAAGCAGCTTTACTCTTATCTAGCCAAACACAATATACTTAGCTCTTGCCAATATGGCTTCAGACCCAAAAAAAGCACTAACGATGCACTTATTAGTATGCTTAACTTGTTTCATACAGCTCTTGATAAAAATGAGTTCCCTGTTGGGTTATTTGTGGACCTGCGTAAGGCTTTTGACACTGTCAACCACCAAAACCTTCTTCTTAAATTACATCATTATGGAGTCAGAGGACACTCCCTGCAATACCTCAAATCCTACCTTACTGACAGGCTCCAGTATGTTTCTGTGAATAATTCAATTTCTCCCACCCTACCCATCAACATTGGTGTTCCTCAGGGCAGTATACTTGGCCTTCTCCTCTTTCTCATCTACATTAATGACCTTCCAAATGCCTCCCAACACCTCAAACCAATTCTATTTGCTGACGACACAACCTTCATTTACTCCAGTCCTGACCCCCTTGCTCTAAATGCCACAGTAAATACTGAGCTAAATAAAGTCCATCTTTGGCTAACTGCCAACAAACTCACCCTTAACATTAACAAAACTTTCTATATTCTGTTTGGCAATAAATCCTCTAATCAAATAAATCTCAAAATAAACAATACCCAAATTTGTAACAAATTAGATGGCAAATTCCTTGGCATTCTCATTGACCACAAGCTGAATTTCCAGGGACACATTCTAAATATATCAAAAAAAGTTTAAAAACTGTTGGCATTCTTTCTAAGATCAGATATTATGAACCCCGCCCTGCCTGGTGACTCTCTATTACTCCCTCATCTATCCATATCTCAACTATGGTATTTGTGCTTGGGGTTCTACTACCCAAAATCATTTACGTCCTCTAATTACTCAACACAAAGCTGCTATTAGGACAATATCCAACTCTGGCCCAAGACATCACTCGGTACCCCTACTCAAATCTCTGAATATGTTAGATATTAAGTCACTGCACATTCTCTCATGTGTATTATACATATATAAAACGCTGAACTGTAATGCCAATCCTGACCTCAAAAGCTTCATAGAAGGTTGTAACAGAACCCATGAGCACCACACCAGAAATAAATGCAGTTTTGATATTCCTAGAGTACGACTTAATCAAACTAGAAATGCTCTACAAATCAAGGGACCCAGAATGTGGAATGACCTTCCCAACCATGTTAAAGACTGTACCTCTCTCAACCAGTTTAAGATAAAAACGAAGTACTACCTAATCAATTCCCTGTAACCTACCTTACCCCTCTATTGTCAACCAATGTCTTTTTTTTTTTTTAAATGGCGCTGTTTGTCGACAGAATTGTATTTGTGCTGCTTTTTCAGCCATGTTCCCCCCTTTTTTATCTCTTTTTTTTATTTGTTCTCAACTCATTTTATTCTTTATGCTCAATTAGTATTAAGCTTTAGTCATTTAAGTTTTTCATGTTCTAAGTCCTGTTGCCCTCAACCGTTCCTGATACGAGAATTGACTTAACTCAGGAATGATTTTTATTGCCCGGTATTGCACCTTCTCCAGAGCAGCTATATCCTTCTGAAGAAGAGGTCTCCATGCTTGGATATAGTAATCCAAATGTGGGCACACCAGAGATTTTCCTTAAAGTCAAAGGTATGCTTGGTTATTCCAAGGGTTCGGTTAGCTTTTTTTTATTGGCGGATTTGGATTTTTTTTGTTGGCAGATTTGGTATTTAAAATCTTGTCCCATACTTCCTGGGGAACTGATAGACGCTCCTCTCTTTACATCGTGTCTGAATGAACTTTTTTTGTTTTCAGGGATATTCCTGCGCGACCCATAAGCTTCTCTGACTGGCCCACTAAGTGTTGCTTGTTTCTGTTTTATTGGAGTATGAGTATTTATGACTCGTATGTTCGCTTCAGTAAGATTATGCCCCAAGTGTTTAACAACAACTTCTGCTCTGATGAATCTAAGTTGAAACCTTATTGGGTTTGTAACTGTGCACTGTGTTAGACTGAATGAAGTCGATAATGGCTGTCCTGCTTACTCGTCTGCCTCTGCTTCGACTCTTCGTCGTCCCTGTGACTCATTTGGGTACTATGTTTCCACCTGTGTCATAATTTTATATGTGGTGATCATGTCTTCTCTAACTCTTCTGTCCTCCAGTGTCGTAAGGTTTAGTTCCAGTAATCTTTCCTCGTACCGCATACCCCTCGGCTCTGGGACTAGCCTGGTGGCATATCTCTGAACCTTTTCTAACTTCGTTTTGTGCCCGATTAAATATGGACTCCACGCTGGAGCCGTATACTCCAGTATTGGTCTGACATATGAGGTATACAAGGTTCCGAATGATTCCGTACACAAGTTACTGAACGCAGTTTTTATGTTTGCCAGCCTCGCATACGCCGCTGACGATATCCTTTTGATGAGGAGTTTCAGGGGACAGGTCTGGCGTGATATCAACCTCCAAATCTCTCTCTCTCTCTCTCTTCCTGATTCTTGAAGGATTTCTTCTGTGTCACGTACACGGAGATCCGCCATCCTCTTTATTGGTACACTTACCTGAGCGTGAAACAAGAGGACACTCAATGCTTCCCCAAGAGATATATCGATATTGTACTGTATATACAAAATAACGTGCAACTAATGCTCGATCAGAGCACTAGGTGATGTTTAACCAAATGCACAGGATTACTACACAGAGTTACCCGTGGGCAAAATATCCTAGTGACGTTAATGACCATTGAATCAACGTAATTTCAGCGATGAGTTAACACTGAATTAACGTTACTCTTGGATATTGTTCCCACTAGAGGAGCTGCTGTAGCCACAGGACTGAGCTCTCACAAAAGCAAGTGAGGTTGCAAGTTACATCACACAGCCTAGCCAACCTACAGCAGGAAATCCTCTTGTGAATGAATGTTAACATCAAATTATTGTTAATCACTTTATAACATGGAATTGACCTTCTCTGGCATGCATTCCACAACAGTTCTCTAACTCTCAGATAAAAATTCACTGTTAGGTGAACACAGACGCCAGGCATAGATGTTTTGTTTTAGATTTAGCTACTCAGAACGAAATGTTCATGTAGCACGGGCTATGGTGAACCCGTAATCCAGGCAGAGAAATGTACCTAATAAATAGAGCTTCGTCATGACACACGTCGGGTCCGGGATTCGAGTTTCACAGAGCCAAGGTGATTGAAATGTGCCCAAACGTCTTCCCGGGAATCTCTATGCAGCACAGACATTTGGAACAAGTCACTTTACAAAACAGATCATTAACCGCTTAGAAAGAAACTACGAAAACTGATGTATTAATTCACAAAACAGAAGAAAGCCTCAATTACTAAATAGGGAATTCCAGTAGGATATCCGATTGACCATGCATAAATAATAAATGTGTTCATTAAATGTGTATTATAAACCAATTGACCAGGTTTTATTAACACATTTAGATGCATCCGCATATCTGCAGCTAACCTGGATTATAAGAAGGGTTTATGACAAGAGATATCTACTCTGATATTGACACATCATCAAACAGTACGGTTAATCACTCTGGAGTAGCGGGGGGGGGGGGGGGGGCTGCACATGAGGATATCGGATTATGGGGATATCCTCACGAAAAAGAGTGGATGAAGTAGTTTGTGAGCATCATGGCAGTTTGATGGCAAAATTTACACGTGGGGTGCTCAGGTTTGAAAAATTCGTCACAGCCACATTACTTAATTTATAGTAGCTACAGGTGACAATTATCAAAATATAGTTTATAGCTTTTTTTTTGGCCTGGATATTACCATGTCGCCTGTCTGGTGGACGTTGTGTGCTGCCCATGTACATGAAGAAAGCAGGCTTAAATACTATCCAATTATCATGTTACCAATTTTTTGTTATGATCATTAATTCATAATTCATATTGGTGTCCTATTCTTTGTTAGTGGGCAGACTAAAGTGGCGACATTCTGATAGCATTCCTAATTTAAAAGAGGAAGTTACAGAGAGAAGGTTTCTTATTAATTAAGCAAACATTTCCAATGACCAGCGGGATGTCCAAGGCCCTGCTGGCAATAAACACTACTGCCATCGCCCGATATTTTCTTAATAACTAGTCTCCAGTTCAGTCACGATTTATCGTTTAGATTGTGTTTGATGTACATGTCAGCTTACTCTTCATGACCAGACTACCACTGCCGAAGAATATGAATAAATTTTGCAAAAAAAAGGAGAAAGTTATTGTCACTCAGGGTTCTTGTACATTAGGTGGTGAATAAATTTGGTCAGTCCGTCTGTGGTCTCCACACCTTGCACATCGTGCTAACGTGAGCTTCCCGCGTTCTGGTGGTATATGTGACACTGGTACAATATTATCTTCAGTTTCACCAAGTTAGTTAATTCTCAAGTGTTTGCCTTGCACAGGAGCGTGCCGTTGTATTCAAGACGAAAGAGGCGATGTTTGAACAAGTGCTGGTGGCGATGTTTCTGACGGCAGCAGCGGTACCCTTGGCAGCACTGGTTCCCCTGGCGGCGGCACCGGTACCGGTAACCTTGGCGGCGGCACACGCCACCCACCAGGAACCCTCTTTCATCTCTGCTACTGCCAACAAGTTAGCTTTCCCGGAAGTGAACATACCGCCCGCAGTCTACGGGCATCCACCATCAGCTCTACCTGGTTTCCTTCATCCTGCGGGAGAGTACCTCCCGCCACAGGTAGTACAGGAGACCAGCACACCGGAAGCCTCCCCACCGGTTGTAGGTGTCATCATAGATGTTCCTTGTCGCTGCAGCGGTTGCTTCTTCACGGTACAAGTGAATCCCTGCGTCTGCGAGAGGGATTTCAACTGTGGGGCGCCGGTTCCTGTGAGAAGCGGGTTCCTCCAGGATTAAAGTATCTTCCGACCACCACCTTCAAAGCTTTTATTTGTAGGTCAAAGTATGTTCTCAAACTAAGAACTTAATAAAGTTAAAATTTGGCAATTATTTGTATTTTGTAATTTTTTAACATACAGCTTATTTAAACAAATGCAGTTGCATTTAACACTAAACAAAATTTAGTGCAACTTATCCAGAATGACTACTTTCCAAACTACCACCCCATTTCGCGTATAAAATTTGGTTATTTTAATTACATTGTGGATTCGTACTCTCCACCGATAACCTGTCTTCGTACAAAGAATGTCGCTTTTCGCTCGTATGTGTTACAAAGTCAAAAGTAAGTAATTATCAAAAAGAAGGCAGCACCAAACCGGGAAGGCTATGTAGCAACATCAAATGTGCGGGATAATCAGAGGGCGCTAAATATCACCAAGGATGCCAATACGAGAACAGAAACGCATAAGGCGAACGATATCAAAAGTACCCGAGTCACCAAGAATACTATCGAGAGACAAGCGACCGGGGGGACGGTCGGAAAACAAAACACACGCTCGTCCTGGAAGTCAGGACATTCAACAAGGATATGCACGACGGTAAGAGGGACAATGCAATTAGGACAATAAGGAGCAGGGCGGCGCTCCATCAAGTGACCATGAGTTAAGCGAGTATGGCCAATACGCAACCTCGCCAGAGCCGTTTCCCATCGCCGGTTATGGTGGTAGGCGGCTCCTGTGCCAGGTAAGTCCACGACGGGTTCACCATAGCCCTAGCTACTTGCCCCGCTCCTGTGCCAGGTAACTTACGGGCTCACCATAGCCCGTGCTACTAGGAACTTGTTCCGAGTAGCTGAATCTATAACAACAACAACCGTTAAATCAACGTAATTTCAGCGTTGCGTCAACATTGAATTAACGTTACTCTTGGATATTGTTCCCACTAGAGCTGCTGTAGCCACAGGGCTGAGCTCTCACAAAAGCAAGTGAGGTTGCAAATTACATCACACAGCCCAGCCAACCTACAGCAGAAAATGCTCCGACATGTCCGGGGTTCGAGTCTCCTAGAGCCCAGGTGATTGACATGTGCCCAAACGTCTTCGTGGGCATCCCTATTCAGCACAGACATTTGGAACAAGTCACTTTACAAAACAGATAATTAATCGCTTGTTAAGAAAATACTCCAACTGATATACTAATTCACAAAACACAAAAGCAAGCCTCCATTACTATATAGGGAATTCCAGTAGGCTGTCCAATTGACCATGCATAAATAATATATGTGTATTAATAAACCAATTGACCAGGTCTTATTAACACATTTAGATGCATCCGCATATTTTCAGCTAACCTGGATTATACGAAGGGTTCATGGCATGTCTACTCAGATACTGATATCCTCATCTGTCAGTGCGGCTAAAAATTCGGGGGGAAGGGGGCCTGCACATGAGGATATCGGATTATAGGGATAGCCTCACGAATAAGAGTGGATGTAGTAGTTTGTGAGCATCATGGCAGTTCCTGTTAGCAAAATTTACATGTGGCGTGCTCAGGTTTAAGAGATTCGTCACAGGTACATAATTATTCAATTTTTACCAGCTACAGGTAACAATTATCTAAACACAGTTTATAGCTTGTTTTTGGCCTGGATATTACCATGTCGCCTGTCTGGTGGACGTTGTGTGCTGCCCATGTACATGAAGAAAAGAACAGCAGGCTTAAATAATATCTAATTATCATGTTACCAATTTGTTATTATGATCATTAATTCATAATTCATATTAGCGCCCTATTCTTTGTTAATAGGCAGACTAAAATGACATTCTGATATCATTCCTAAAAGTAGAGGAAATTACAGCGTGAAGATTTCTCATTAAGTTAAACATTTCCAGTGACCAGCGGGATGCCCATGGCTTTGCTGGCAACAATCACTATTGCCATCACCCGATATTTTCTTAATAACTAGTCACCAGGTCATTCATGATTTATCGTTTAGATTGTGTTTGATGTACATGTCAGCTTACTCTTCATGACCAGACTACTACTACCGAAGAATATGAAAAAATTATGCAAAGAGAGGAGAAAGTTAGTCACTCAAGATTCTTGTACATTAGGTGGTGGTGAATAAATTTGGTCAGTCCGTCTGTGGTCTCCATACCTTGCACATCGTGCTAACGTGAGCTTCCCTCGTTCTGGTGGTATATGTGACACTGGTACAATATTATCTTCAGTTTAACCAAGTTAGTTAATTCTCAAGTGTTTGCCTTGCACAGGAGCGTGCCGTTGTAGTCAAGACGAAAGAGGCGATGTTTGAGCAAGTGCTGGTGGCGATGATTCTGACGGCAGCATTGGTACCCTTGGCAGCACCGGTACCGGTAACCTTGGCGGCCATCCCATGTTGGAGTTGGAAAACATGACTTTGTAGATCAATTGGCCAATGAGGCTTGCAGGAAAGAAAACATTGATTATGACTTTGGACTATCTAATGCTGTTATTAGAAACATACAAATTAAAGAAATTAATTCAGATTTAGAAGAACTAAGAAATGCCCAGAGACCTGAAAGCTGCAGTATTAAAAGTTATGACACGTTTTGTAATAATAGGTATTTGTATGGTCAGCACAGTAACCGGACCAGGCAATGTGATGTAGTCATTGCGCGAATTCGCCTTGGCTATAGACACATCTGGCAGGTTAGTGAGGCTGAGCCGCTACCAGAATATTCAGATTGTAAACTTTGTGATAAACCTTTAATGCATTCACTAGAATGAATAAGAATATTGATGAATGTGAAACCGTAAAGAACTTTAGACCTCCTGGCCTCTTGTACCACCAACTGTGTAACTATTTTATTGACTCAGGTGTTCTGGACGACATCCTAACAATTTACCCAAAATTTGCTTGTCCATTTTAAAGAATGAAGAACAATTTTTATTTATATTACTTCTAAGCTGTATTACTTATGAACCCATCCCTGCCCTTGTGTGGCAGTGCACAATAGAAAGTTGTTTTCACGTATCCATACATTAAAACATTGATTGTAACAATGATATATATGTGCTTCAACCTACAGTTTAGACCTATTGTCTTATGCATGACCCTCTGTCCTGCGTGACAGTGAATACTAGCATTAACCTCACTTTAATAAGACCTATCAAAATCCTCAGATTAGGCAAAATTGTAATTAATTTTGTCAATAAAGATGTTAATAATAATAATAAATACCTCCCGCCACAGGTAGTACAGGAGACCAGCACACCGGTGGCCACCCCACCGGTTGTAGGCGTCAGCATAGATGCCCTTTGTCGCTGCAGCGTCTGCTCCTTCCCGGTACAAGTGAATCCCTGCGTCTGCGAGAGGGATTTCGACTGTGGGGCGCCGATTCCTGTGAGAGGGTAGTTCCTCCAGGGTTAAAGTACCTTGCGACCACCACCTTCATAGCTTTTATGTATTAGACCTTTCAGACCAGTTGGCATGAGATACCTGGAGCTTTGCAATTACTTTATTCACTCTCATGTTCTTGAGGATATCCTCATATTGCACCCAATATTTGCCAGTGCAGGCTACTAAACGTATGGCCCTGTATGACTAACCATCCTGCGAGATGGGGATTTTTTTACCACTGCTGCCTTATTCACTCTTCTGTTGATGATATCCTCAAAATGCATCCGGAGTCTGCCAGTGCAGACTGCCTATCACATGCCTCTGTATGACTAACCATCCTGTGTGATGGGGATTTTTTAGCATCACGTAGTTAGCTTTTTTGACACACTGTACTCTACTTCATATAGTCTAGGGTAGCTACACAAATGCAGATGTATCTCATGTATTAAAAAAATAGCTTTTATTTGTAGGTCAAAGTATGTTCTCAAACTTTATTCAATTCTTAAAGTTAAAGTTTGGCAATTATTTGTATTTTGTAATTTTTTAACGTACAACTTTTTTAAGTAAATGCGGCTGCATTTAACACTAAACAAGATTTAGTGCAACTTATCCAGAATGACTACTCTCCAAACTACCACCCCCATTTCGCGCATAAAATTTGGTTCTTTAATTACATTGTGGGTTCGTAGTATTCAACGACAACCTGTCTTCGTACAAAGAATGTCGCTTTTCGCTTGTATGCATTACAAAGTCAAAAGTAAGTAAGTAATTATCAAAAAGAAGGCAGCACCAAACCGGGAAGGCTATGTAGCATCATCAAATGTGCGGGATAATCAGAGGGCGCTAAATATCACCAAGGATGCCAATACGAGAACAGAAACGTATAAACGAGAGGCGAACGATATCAAAAGTATCCGAATCACCAAGAATACTATCGAGAGACAAGCGACTGCGGGGGACGGTCGGAAAACAAGACACACGCTCGTCCCGGAAGTCAGGACATTCAACAAAGATATGTACGACCGTAAGAGGGACAATGCAATTAGGACAATAAGGAGCAGGGCGGCGCTCCATTAAGTGACCATGGGTTAAGTGAGTATGGCCAATATGCAACCTCGCCAGAGCCGTTTCCCATCGCCGGTTACGGTGGTAGGAGGACTTACCTGGCGTTTCCCATCACCAGGTAAGTTCACTACGGGCTCACCATAGCCCGTGCTACTAGGAACTTGTTCCGAGTAGCTGAATCTATAACAACAACAACCGTTGAATCAACGTAATTTCAGCGTTGCGTCAACACTGAATTAACGTTACCCTTTGATATTGTTCCCACTAGAGCTGCTGTAGCCACAGGACTGAGCTCTCACAAAAGCAAGTGAGGTTGCAAGTTACATCACACAGCCCAGCCAACCTACAGCGGGAAATGCTCCGACATGTCCGGGGTTCGAGTCTCCTAGTCTCGAGTCTTCGAGTCTCGGAGGCCTGGTCGAGGACCGGGCCGCGGGGACACTAAAGCCCCGAAATCATCTCAAGATAGTCTTAAGATAGCCTCCTAGAACCCAGGTGATTGACATGTGCTCAAACGTCTTCGTGGGCATCCCTATTCAGCACAGACATTTGGAACAAGTCACTTTACAAAACAGATAATTAATCGCTTGTTAAGAAAATACTCCAACTGATATACTAATTCACAAAACACAAAAGCAAGCCTCCATTACTATATAGGTTATTCCAGTAGGCTGTCCAATTGACCATGCATAAATAATATATGTGTATTAATAAACCAATTGACCAGGTTTTATTAACACATTTAGGTGCATCCGCATATTTTCAGCTAACCTGGATTACACGAAGGATTCATGGCATGTCTACTCAGATACTGATATCCTCATCTGACAGTGCGGTTAAAAACTCGGGAGGGAGGGGGCCTGCACATGAGGATATCGGATTATGGGGATATCCTCACGAAAAGAGTGGATGTAGTAGTTTATGAGCATCATGGCAGTTCCTGTTATCAAAGTTTACATGTGGCGTGCTCAAGTTCGAGAGATTCGTCACAGCAACATAATTACTCAATTTTTACCAGCTACAGGTAACAATTATCTAAACACAGTTTATAGCTTGTTTTTGGCCTGGATATTACCATGTCGCCTGTCTGGTGGACGTTGTGTGCTGCCCATGTACATGAAGAAAAGAACAGCAGGCTTAAATAATATCTAATTATCATGTTACCAATTTGTTATTATGATCATTAATTCATAAATCATATTAGCGCCCTATTTTTTTTTTAATGGGCAGACTAAAATGACATTCTCGTCATGATATCATTCCTAACAGTAGAGGAAATTACAGCGTGAAGGTTTCTCATTAAGTTAAACATTTCCAGTGACCAGCGGGATGCCCAAGGCCTTGCTGGCAACAAACACTATTGCCATCGCCCGATATTTTCTTAATAATTAGTTACCAGCTCATTTACGATTTATATTTTAGATTATGTTTGATGTACATGTCAGCTTACTCTTCATGACCAGACTACTACTACTACCGAAGAATATGAATAAATTATGCAAAAAGAGGAGAAAGTTATTGTCACTCAAGGTTCTTGTACATTAGGTGGTGAACAAGTTTGGTCAGTCCGTCTGTGGTCTCCACACCTTGCACATCGTGCTAACGTGAGTTTCCCGCGTTCTGGTGGTATATGTGACACTGGTACAATATTATCTTCAGTTTAACCAAGTTAGTTAATTCTCAAGTGTTTGCCTTGCACAGGAGCGTGCCGTTGTAGTCAAGACGAAAGAGGCGATGTTTGAGCAAATGCTGGTGGCGATGATTCTGGCGGCAGCATCGGTACCCTTGACAGCACCGGTACCGTTACCCTTGGCGGCAGCACTGGTACCCCTAGCGGCGGCACACGCCACCCACCCGAAACCCTCTTTCATCTCTACCACTGCCAAGTTAGCTTTCCCGGATGTGAACATACCGCCCGCTGTCTACGCGCATCCATCATCAGATCTACCTGATTTCCTTCATCCCACGAAAGAGTACCTCCCGCCACAGGTAGTACAGGAGACCAGCACACCGGAAGTCGCCCGACCGATTCCAATCGTCAGCATAGATGTTCCTTGTCGCTGCAGCGATTGCTTCTTCTCGGTACAAGTGAATCCCTGCGTCTGCGAGAGGGATGTCGACTGTGGGGCGCCGATTCCTGTGAGAGGGTCGTTCCTCCAGGGTTAAAGTACCTTGCGACCACCACCTTCATAGCTTTTATGTATTAGACCTTTCAGACCAGTTGGCATGAGATACCTGGAGCTTTGCAATTACTTTATTCACTCTCGTGTTCATGAGGATATCCTCATATTGCACCCAATATTTGCCAGTGCAGGCTACTAAACGTATGGGCCTGTATGACTAACCATCCTGCGAGATGGGGACTTTTATTACCACTGCTGCCTTATTCACATTTGTGTTGATGATATCCTCAAAATGCATCCGGAATCTGCCAGTGCAGACTGCCTATCACATGCCTCTGTATGACTAACCATCCTGTGTGATGGGGATTTTTTAGCATCACGCAGTTAGCTTTTTTGACACACTGTACTCTACTTCATATAGTCTATGGGAGCTGCACAAATGCAGATGTACCTCATATATTAAAAAAAAATAGCTTTTATTTGTAGGTCAAAGTATGTTCTCAAACTTTAAGAATTTAATAAAGTTAAAGTTTGGCAATTATTTGTATTTTGTAATTTTTTAACGTACATTTTTTTTTTAATAAATGCGGCTGCATTTAACACTAAACAAGATTTAGTGCAACTTATCCAGAATGACTACTCTCCAAACTACCACCCCATTTCGCGTATAAAATTTGGTTCTTTACTTAATTACATTTTGGGTTCGTAGTATCCAACGAAAACCTGTCTTTGTACAAAGAATGTCGCTTTTCGCTCGTATGCGTTACAAAGTCAAAAGTAAGTAATGCAGGCGATGAGTCACAATAACGTGGCTAAAGTATGTTGACCAGACCACACACTAAAAGGTGAAGGGACGACGACGTTTCGGTCCGTCCTGGACCATTCTCAAGTCGATTGTGATGAGGATGTTGTTGTTGTTTCAGATTTAGCTACTCAGAACGAAGTGTCCATGTAGCACGGGCTATGGTGAGCCCGTAGCGTGTGTGATGAGGAAGATTGATTGACTGATAAAGATTAAGGCACCCAAGAGCACGGGCATGAATAGCCCGTAAGTGGTACAATTTTTTTTTCAGTAATTCTGAGGTTGCATTTAATCGTCAAGCTGTTATCGCGGGGGAGGATACGGCTTCACAGTCTCTATGAGGGTGTCCAGCTGCTGGACACCTTTGTTGACCAGGAGAGTGGCTGTGTTGATGGCTTCAGGGTGGCCACTGCAAGATTCAGGAACTCTTAAAGCTCTTCTAAGGTCGTCGGTTGCTTCACATTCCAGAAGATAGTGAAGTAATGGCTTTTCTGTGACAGTTTGGCAGAAGATGCACTCTCTTTGTCGGGGTTCACCAATCTCCCAGTTGCATCTGTAACCTAGACGTAGTCTATATAACCTAACTGCTATTTCCCTGTGGATTCCTTTTGGGATATTTAACCTTTCTAATTTGGTTGCCTGAAGATACCATGTTGCAGAGGGCGAACCTTCAGCTATTCTCTGGTGTAGGTAGGATTTGTTGAGGTGTGAGAGTTTTTTGGTGATTTTTTATGTTCTCTATGGTGATGAGGAAGTAGAGACAGGCAATAATTAGGCAAGAGAGAGCTGAGGAGCAAAGTAAGGTGTAGTAGAGGGGATAGTAATAATAATAAGAGCTGCAGAGGGCCTATTGGCCCATACGAGGCAGCTCCTATTATAACCACCGAATGAGAAGGAGATAGGAATAAGAAGAGGATAGCAAGGGAGCGTAGGAGAAGACAATGAACAGTAAGTAATGATAAAAAAGAAGGCACCAAACCGGGAAGGCTATGTAGCACCATCAAATGTGCTGGATAATCAGAGGGCGCTAAATATCACCAAGGATGCCAATATGAGAACAGAAACGCATAAGGCGAACAATATCAAAAGTATCCGAGTCACCAAGAATACTATCGAGGGACAAGCGACCGCGGGGGACGGTCGGGAAACAAGACACACGCTCGTCCCGGAAGTTAGGACATTCAACAAGGATATACACGACCGTAAGAGGGACAATGCAATTAGGACAATAAGGAGCAGGGCGGCGCTCCATCAAGTGACCATGAGTTAAGCGAGTATGGCCAATTCGCAACCTCGCCAGAGCCGTTTCCCATCGGCGGTTACGGTGGTAGGAGGCTCCTGTGCCAGGTAAGTCCACTACGGGTTCACCATAGCCCTAGCTACTTGCCCCGCTCCTGTGCTAGGTAAGTTACGGGCTCACCATAGCCTGTGCTACTAGGAACTTGTTCCGAGTAGCTGAATCTATAACAACAACCGTTGAATCAATGTAATTTCAGCGTTGCGTCAACACTGAATTAACGTTACTCTTGGATATTGTTCCCACTAGAGCTGCTGTAGCCACAGGACTGAGCTCTCACAAAAACAAGTGAGGTTGCCAGTTACATCACACAGCCCAGCCAACCTACAGCAGGAAATGCTCCGACATGTCCGGGGTTCGAGTCTCCTAGAGCACAGGTGATTGACATGTGCCCAAACGTCTTCGTGGGCATCCCTATTCAGCACAGACACGTGGAACAAGTCACTTTACAAACCAGATAATTAATCGCTTAAGAAAATACTCCAACTGATGTTCTAATTCACAAAACACAAAAGCAAGCCTCCATTACTATATACGGAATTCCAGTAGGCTGTCCAATTGACCATGCATAAATAATATATGTGTATTAATAAACCAATTGACCAGGTTTTATTAACACATTTAGATGCATCCGCATATTTTCAGCTAACCTGGATTATACGAAGGGTTCATGGCATGTCTACTCAGATACTGATATCCTCATCTGTCAGTGCGGCTAAAAATTCGGGGGGAAGGGGGGCCTGCACATGAGGATATCGGATTATAGGGATATCCTCACGAATAAGAGTGGATGTAGTAGTTTGTGAGCATCATGGCAGTTCCTGTTAGCAAAATTTACATGTGGCGTGCTCAGGTTTAAGAGATTCGTCACAGCCACATAATTACTCAATTTTTACCAGCTACAGGTAACAATTATCTAAACACAGTTTATAGCTTGTTTTTGGCCTGGATATTACCATGGCGCCTGTCTGGTGGACGTTGTGTGCTGCCCATGTACATGAAGAAAAGAACAGCAGGCTTAAATAACATCTAATTATCATGTTACCAATTTGTTATTATGATCATTAATTCATAATTCATATTAGCGCCCTATTCTTTTTTAATGGGCAGACTAAAATAACATTCTGATATCATTCCTAAAAGTAGAGGAAATTACAGCGTGAAGGTTTCTCATTAAGTTAAACATTTCCAGTGACCAGCGGGATGCCCAAGGCCTTGCTGGCAACAATCACTATTGCCATCGCCCGATATTTTCTTAATAACTAGTCACCAGTTCATTCATGATTTACCGTTTAGATTGTGTTTGATGTACATGTCAGCTTACTCTTCATGACCAGACTACTATTACCGAAGAATATGAAAAAATTATGCAAAAAAGGAGAAAGTTATTGTCACTCAAGGTTCTTGTACATTAGGTGGTGAACAAGTTTGGTCAGTCCGTCTGTGGTTTCCACACCTTGCACATCGTGCTAACGTGAGCTTCCCGCGTTCTAGTGGTATATGTGACACTGGTACAATATTTTCTTCAGTTTAACCAAGTTAGTTAATTCTCAAGTGTTTGCCTTGCAAAGGAGCGTGACGTTGTAGTCAAGACGAAAGAGGCGATGTTTGAACAAGTGCTGGTGGCGATGTTTCTGACGGCAGCATTGGTACCCTTGGCAGCACCGGTACCGGTATCCCCGGCGGCGGCACCCGCCACTCACCCGGAACCCTCTTTCATCTCTTCTACTGCCAAGTTAGCTTTCCCGGAAGGGAACATACCGCCCGCTGTCTACGGGCATCCATCAGCTGTACCTGGTTTCCCTCATCCCGCGGGAGAGTACCTCCCGCCACAGGTAGTACAGGAGACCAGCACACCGGTGGCCACCACATCTGAAGCCTCCTCACCGGTTGGAACCTCCATAACTGTTCCTTGTCGCTGCAGCGTCTGCTCCTACCCGGTACAATTAAATCCCTGCGTCTGCGAGAGGGATGCCAACTGTGGGGCGCCGCCTCCTGTGAGAAGCGGGTTCCTCCAGGATTAAAGTATCTTACGACCACCACCTTCATATCTTATTTGTAGGTCAACGTATGTACTCAAACTTTATTTAATAAAGTTAAAATTTGACAATTATTTGTATTTTTAATTTTTTAACTTACAGCTTATTTAAAGAAATGCGGCTGCATTTAACACTAAACAAAATTTAGTGCAACTTGTCCAGTATGACTACTTTCCAAACTACCACCCCATTTCGCGTATAAAATTTGGTACTTTATTACATTGTGGATTCGTACTATCCGCCGTCAACATGTCTTCGTACAAAGAATGTCGCTTTTCGCTCGTATACGTTACAAAGCCAAAAATGGTCGTACTAGAGAAATAGAAGCGGCTGGTGAAAGGGACGTACTGTCCCGTTTTGGGTCCTCTGGCTTATTGTGTTAGGTTAGGAAAGGGCACTTTTAATTTAGTGTTTGAAACGTCATGAAAACCGCGAGGAGAATTCCCTTCTCGCCTAACCTACCAGAGGACCCAAAACTTGCTGCTTTGGGCCTTTCATTTGAAAAATGAATTTCCATTTTTTTTAATTCAAATACGGCGATTTTTAGCCGGAGCGCATACTAGTGAAAAAACACTATTTTTAAGAGGACTAGCTGCAGTAAATAGTTACCCAAGAGTTAGCGTGTTGATTTTTTATTGTTGCCGCCGGAGGTGGCTAGTTTATTGTGCACCCCATACCCATCCTGTGAGCGGTAGCGCAAAAAGCATTACAGAGGGCACAAAAGGTCTATCATACCTCATCTTAGACTATTACAATCAATTTCATCTATTCTTCACACCTTATAGTTACGATTAGCTTGTTGTGGGATTGCATCCTGGGTAGGTTAGTAATTCGACCGTTTAAATTTTATCAAAACCCAGCTCCTTTCGTGTTTGCTATATTTAACGTTCTGAACAGTTCTGTCAAGTCTTAAGTTCACTTTTTCGTCCCTGTAGCTGGCGGACAAGTCTGATAACCACCTCTCGAGCTTGCCCAACGTCAAAAAACAATCTCACTAAAGTGCTTTATCCTAACCTACCAGAGGACCCACCAACAGAAGACTGGAGTATTTCTCAAGCCGCTACAAATTTGCACGACAGTTTTTGGCTTTAGTCTGTCTAATTGCGACGTGCTATTAGGAGGTCGGGTCGTACTTTACTGTACAGGAAGTCTGACTCTCCTACAGGTTACAATGACAAATTTACATTTTAGATTATACAAAAATAATGAAAACTTTTGTACATAGGACATTAAAGGCAAAGCAAAGTTTAATATACTTTAATAACCAATAACAGATTACAGTTTAAGGGAGGAGATTTAGTTGGCTCTAAGATTCTCTAGAAGATGCGGGTCACTGATGAAGCAACCTGCACTCGCTTGCCATCGGAAGACTGTAGCTCTGTTAGAAACGGTCACATTAGTAAGACATCAAAACTCTACAAGAGATCATTTAATTGCTATGAAATTCAAGAAACCCACCTTCCCGAGCGAGAACTCTGGCTTGTAGTAGTCGTAGACGCTCACCGTGCCTGGCTTCATATTCTCTACGTCAACATCGCGCACTACGCGGAAGGTCACACACGTTCTAGCAATAGTCAACTCTGCCAGATAAAATGAAATCAAGCTCCCAACTTCCTCGTATCTCTTAACCTTGCTTGCCTTCACAAGGTCTTCCAGGTCAGCTTTCTCCGCTACGTAGCCGGACACCACCTTCACCTCAATCACCGCCAAGTTGGAGCTGCCGTCGGCAAGAAGGTAGCTGGCGCAAGCAGTAATGCGTTTGGTAACGCACGCCACGTCGGGCTCCGTCTGCGTCTCTACCGTCAAGCTAAAAGCTTGCCCGGACTCTGGGATGGGGATGTTGTACCTAAGAACGGCCTGTTGGAGATATTAGGTTAAGTATCTTAAGCTTTAATGTCGTTAGTTGTAAAAGACGTTAAGTTTCTAAAGTTTAGAAGCTTAAGTTTTTAAAAGTTTCTTCCTTACCTGCACAACAACACAACCTTGACCTTCCAATCCTATTGACACATTGGTAGGGAGAGTTGGAAGCTTGCCAAACTGCTGCAACAATTTATTAGATTCATTTATTAAGAAAATATGAATGTCCCCAGCAGCGGTTACTGTAGTCTTCACATCCATCGGGCCTTGGTACTGATGGGTCGCGTACACACCAAGAGCTTGCACAGCCACCACCGTGTCCTGTGGACAAAGCTTTATGTATATAGAAATACCGTTTACCAAAGTTTAAAATTTATATGCAGTCCTGAATACTACGTAAATTTAAAGCAACATTCACGGTCCTTAGCATTGCAAAGTAACACTATCAGCACATTAACAAAAAAATCCTATCTACAAACTTCAAAATTTCCTGCAGTCAGTAATAAATGCTTCAAACCCTGCTGTATGAAACAGATTGCTTACTTGTGTCGAGTGAAAACCACCTTGGCCATTTCTCTGAGTGGTGATCCAATTTATTACTTTCCTGGTCAAAGGGTTAGGACTGTCAGCATCGAGTGTCATCATGGCAAGAACAGCATACCCAGCCGTCTCCACTGCTATGCCCATGCTGCTACCTGACAGAAGCAGACGTGTACACATGTAGCTGGAGTGCCACTAACTTCATAGCGCAAGTCTTAAATCTTTGAATATCCGACTAGACAAAAATATGGGTTGACGTATACCTGGCGTGTCTCTAAGCTTCCAATAAGCTGCATTTGTTTCAACTATAGCTTGGTCTAGCAACAGCTGCAGTACCCGTGGTGCCTCTGGGTGACTAGCAAGAGTCAGGGCGTAGGCCTCGAGTGCTAGGATGTAAGGGTCGAGGCTTTGCTTGCTGTTCAAGAGGCACTGGAGAGCTCGCAAGACGTCAGGACTGGAGGGAATGTTGCCAGCCTCCAGCAGAGAGATGAGGACGTAGGCTGTCAGCGGTACGCTCGAGTCGTTCCCGTTTCTGCCTCCCTTAAATAGTAATACAAAACATGGGTAAAAACCAGTCTAGTAAATTGTCAAAAGGCACCAAACCGGGAAGGCTATGTAAAAACCAGCCAAATGTTTCTTGCCGTGAACACAATCGGGACACTTCCAGGCTTTACGCAAAATATTTATAAAAAACGTTAATTTAGTGAACTATTGCTTGTATCCGTATTAATGTATCAATATGTACCTAAATCTGATGACCAGATGTTAACAGGGGATGGCGGGGTTACCATAAGGGTACAAAATCCATTTAAGAAGTATTGAGATACAAGAGAGGAAGTACAGGGTAGTGGCCCAATGACTAGTGATTTTGATACAAGAAAAATAAAGTGCCATGAGGAGGATTCGATAACTTCGAAGAATTTGGTGATAGTGATATAAAATAATAAAATAAATAATAGATCTATTTATGGAGAGTGGCTGATTATTGACAAAGAGGATGAAGAGTAGCATTTGAAGGCATCAACTGCTACTACTGTTTGTTGTTTATGGCTGTAATTATCTTTTTCCAGGAGGTTGTTGACTAGCTTAAGGAAACTTTGTGGTGTGGTTTAACCGTCAATTTGAGTCAGTTACTACAAATACTACACAATTTTTACGAGTTATAACTTATCAAATATTCTCAAAGAATTACAAATTCATTTCGAGCTTTACCTTCATATCCTTGTGAATTACCGTTCCCACGGAAATGAAACATCCATCTGTACTTTGTTGCGTGTTCAGCCATGTGCTCGTCGCTTTGAGGCTAGCCTCGTCTATCTGAAAATTTTGAAGAACCATTTACGAATTGACCGCCTTTACTCCAAACAAAATAAGAACTTGCCAATGACATGGTTCCTCGTGGAAGCAGCTTTAGAAATTGGCGGAAGAAATTGCTTTAGCCATTTTTTTCCAATAAAGGCATTGCTACTTACTAGTATATATTGACGCGCCTGTGCGAAGGACTTCAGAACGAAGGCCGTCAGCCACGTAGAGCCAGACGGGTCAGCATTGCCGAAGGCGCTGAAGGACCCATCTACACGACGGTACAGCAGCTGACGCTGGTATCCTGGTGAACATGGAAAATAACTTATTTTCAATACATTTGCAACAAAGATTTCAAGAGCGGTATGCATGTATGCACGCTGAAACCGTTTAGCAAATTATATTTAAAAAAACTGAAAAAATTAGAAAGGGAAAGTATTTTGGAAAAGTGAGTCACTACACGCCAATACTAATGTTACAAGATAACATTTTGTCCCTTGTCAGAAATAACCTTCCTAGAGTTATTGTAAATTTTATAAAATAAAATATCCATATCATTAATTTTTTTTTAGGATCGCACAGCTAGCTCTCGACACTGTATCCTCTTAATACAGTCTAGGGTAGGTGCATAAATGCAGGTGTACCTAAAAGTGTTAAAAGGAATTTTAGATATATATTTTCAAAACTTTGTACAGATTACAGAACATTTTGGGCATAATTTTATTACAGTGATGGGGGAAGAGCTTGTGAGGGCAGGGAGAAAGGATACGGGGGGGGGGGACTGGAGGCCTCTGAAGGGCTGCACTGGGAGGAGGCGACTAGGGAAGGGAGTGGTTCGTGTTTAAGGGGATATTGGGAGGGGGAAATGGGGGAGGGAATGGTTGTTGGGAAGGGAGGAGACATGGGAGGATGTGCGGGAAGAGGCCAGGGTGCTGGGCACAGGATCAATTCCAGGCACTGCTGGGTACCCCCATATAAAGAAAAACAATATACAAGATTTGCGAGTAATAATATCTGTAGACTTTAAAGAACAACGTGGCTGGAAGAAAATTGACAGGTTGGTTAAAAAGACCCTTTCAAACAAGATATGCCAGACCAATGATAATTTAAGACTAGTGCTCTCTAGGTTGGATTATTGATGCACACTAACAGCCTCATTCAAAGCTGTAGAAATTGCTCGTCTGCAGAAAGCGCAAAAATCTTTGTCCGAATCCACTTAAAACATTAAATTATAGGGACCCCCATCCCTAATGTTTATCCCTTATTCTTTATGTTTAAATAATTCTCTAGAGCACAGGCGAGAGATTCACAAATTTCACCTCTAAAGTATTAGATGGAATAGTTCTAAATCTACATAATGAAGGCTCCATATGAGAGGGGCATGGCAAGAAGTGCAAAATAGTAATATTGAAAAGAGGTGCAAGAATACCAACAATAAGGGTCAAACTTTTCAAAAACATGGGGTATAACTAGCCAATCTTTCGTGGCGTTTCAAAGGTTCTTTTTGAACATCTCTAAAGGATACCTGATCAACTGGTCTGATACATAGTTCAGATTGTGAGCAGCTGCGTCTATCAGATTGGTTGAGCAGACCACCAACCAGGGAAGGAAATCAGACACCAGGCTTCAGGAACGTTGGTCCCGGAACCAACAAGGTTCTGGGTTCTTGCATACTGGACAAGGTCTCATTGCAAGAGGGATATTAAGACCCGTGACGTTAGCTTACTGATCAACCACTAATTATACGTCAGTCCTGAACATAGTCCAGGACCAAAACTATTCACCAAGAAACTACATTCCCTCGATATGTTCCAGCTTTAAGAATTTAAGTCATCACTCTGCTTACGGGCTCACTATACCCCATGCTACATGGTCATTTCGTTCAAAGCTAAATCTAAAGACAACTACTCTGCTAACCTGTGTTCATGAAACTGAGGAGTTTCTTTCGTACTTCAGGAGTCACCTGCCGAGAGGCCTCCAAGTACTCCAGGATGAAGATGTTTGGGGCAAAATTGATCATGTTCTGTTCCCCACATCCATACGACATGCGGATCAGGGAACCAAGATTCTGAAAAGTTGAAGCATTAAGTTAGATTCTGAAGTCCAAAATCTGAACTTTACGCAAAAAAAATCAGAAGTGTCCCTCTCTTGTACCTAATTTCAACTAGACTAGTCCTACCTCAAGGTACATCTAGCCATTTCTTTTTTCAAAATTTAATAAAGGTTAACGAATTTGGTTTCTACTTAGGAATATAGATTTAGATATTTAGATTTTGGGTGTATTAATTGGGATATAAAGTTAAAAAAAGTTTAATCGGAATATTATACTTTGGTGAAACTCCAGCAACACTAAATTTTCTTTGGCGACCTGACAAACTACAAATTTTTGCACCGATTTCATTTGCAACTACCGTTGCAAATGAAACTAGTTACGAATACCAATCATAATGGCTCTCAAAACAATGCAAGTTACGGTATTCCTAGAAAAACACTGCTAAACTATCTTTACAGTAGGCCTTGTGCAACCTCCTTCCCTGAAGGAACCACAAATTAATACGCAGCACTAATTGCAAAAAAAACATCTTAACACTACCATCCTTCACAGAACAAAGCGCTTAGAGTGAATAGTTGCTAAACTTCTATTGTTTCAAGCGTAGTTCAGACAAATGAGATTGCGTGGTTATAAATAGGAACCGTCTCTTATGGCAATAGGCCTTATGCAGTTACCTTCATTCTTATGTTCTTTAACTATCTACAGTGAAGTCATTAGTAGTTAACTGTTCGCCACAATTCTTTCTACTACTCTTCTACACACCCGACTTCCTTTCTCAATTCAACTTTACTTTTAAAACACTTTCTCAGCCATTCATTTATACCCATTTCAAAATCTCTACTCTACTTCTGCATTCCACACTTCAGTTTGTTTCAGTCTAACCCATTTATCTGTTACAAAGTTTAATGTCACCTCTAGTGTTGGACCCATGAGGTCACCAACTACGGTGACCCAAGCTCTCTCAGAGCCGACAACGGTGACCGCCGGGACCACTAACTCCCACTCTTCAAGGGAATCCTCCCGAGCCATCAGTTCTGGGAAAATACAAAAATATTAAACTTTCTTCAACATGGACGACAACCATTCTAATTTTTTTACTAACTATAGTCTACAAATTTAAGTTTAAGAACTATTCAAAGAAATTTTATATCCAAGCTAATTAGAGATTTCATAAAACTCTTTCAAAACTGTTTTAATAAGCAAAACACGAGTCTCCAACCTTTTGAACAGACGTACTTCGACCAAGTTTTTTCTTTAGGAAAACCCTCCGCTTCCACTTTGATGGGCTTTATCAAAGCATCGCTGAAAGCAAGTTAAATTATTAAATTAATTATCAAGTCATAATTGGGTCCCCAGATTTATCCAAAACACTCAAGCGTACCTCCTACTAATGTCAAGTCCTGGACCACACTGCAGAGCACTCAAATGGTCAACAAAAGCTGCCACTGTAATGTTTACTTCGCCTAGTGCCAGCAAGTCTAACTTAACAGTGTGCACAACTTTCTCCTGCGCTCCCACACATGAAGTCCTTCGCCCTGTTGCGACACTCGTACCCGGCTCGTCCACGATCTTGTATTCTGTACTCTCCTGCAGCGTCACTGTAACCTGGAGATAATTACGACACCAGCGGTAATACACGACAAAATGAAATTTAAGAAATAATTACCAGTATTGTGTAGAATTTATTAACCGAAGACAATCTTACCGGCAAGGATAGATTCATGTAATTGAAAACGGATATTTTGACGGGCAATATCTCTCCGCGCTTGACTGAAGGCGGAAGGGTAAGGTCAAGGAAGAACGGTGAAGTGATGGTGATGAAGGCCGCGGGAGAGAGACCGACGCCCTTCAGTGGATGGACACACACGGCCTTGCCCACCCACTCGGTGATGGTGTCTGGTACTTTAACCTTTTGCTTCGTCACTCCAGTTGACCTACAAGGAAAGTCGGCATTCTAAAATAAAAGTTTTGACGGCTAACTAGCCTAAACTTTGCGTTCTAAATTTGAGGCTTTATTTGTAGAGCCAAGATTCCTTTAGTCTCTTTATAAACTATTAGAAAACACTTTAATTTAACAGTACTGTTGAAAATACTGTTTTTACATAAAACAAATAAACCTAAGTTTGTCCAGTTGACAACCTACAATAAGAGAACAAAAGCAAGTTCGGTACTCCAGAATGAAAATGAGAAGATACTGACGGTTGTACAAGAAGGTTCCACAACCATGTCTCTGGGAAGTTTGTCCTGGGGACTGTGGTACCCTCGGCACTTCCCTGGGTCTGCAGCTGAAGTGTTGCAGTAGTTGCAGTCACCTTTGACACGAGCGAAGGCTTTATACTATCATAGAACACAACCGGCCGCCAGGCTAGGGAAAAACCGGTTGCATTTGAATGATAAAATTCTTTAAATATTCCTACACTTTGCTGAATGCGTTAAAAATAACAATAAATTCCGTCCCAAGTCAAACTACAGCAACACTTGATGCAGAGTTTAATCTGCTAACAAAAATAATTTCTAAAGCATTGTAGCCTTTAATCAAAGTTTGCTAAAATTGGAGAGATCAGCAATAAATAATCGAGTTGGTAAAGTTAACACTATCTTTACGTTATGTAATGCATAATATAAGGCAGTGTACCAGAGAATGTGGTCGGGTCGGGGAAAGAATAGCCTGATGTACCGACGAGAGGGTGCGTGATTTACCGATTGATGATGATTAAGCCGCCCATATGGTGGCATGGGCATGAATAGCCCGTGACTTCACCCAAGCCAGTAAAGATAAATGCTGTATTCAAACAAACTTGGCTTACGTTCTCTGATCACAGAGCCCAAATTTGGGGGAAAAGCTTGGGTTCGGGGATACAGAGCATTAAACCTCCCCCCCCCCCAACAGGAATGATAGAGCTTCGTTATAGATTCAGCTACTCTTGAAGAAATTACAAGTAGCACGGGCTATGGTGAGCCCGTAATGGATTTGCCTGGCACAGGAGCAGTGCACGATAGGGAGCGTTACGCGCCGGATGGTACACCACTAGTATGTAAATGACAGACATGCTTTAATTAAGATGAGCAATGTGGCAAAAATATAAAGCTCAGGTTTTTATATTTAGTTCTGAAAGTGTCATGTTAAGCAACATTTGGTATCTTATTTAATAAACTTATTTACCTTCCTTTTCACAAGGCCTCGTCTCTACAGTAAAGTCGGTGAAGATGTACAGACCAGAATCCTAGAAAAAAGTAATTAAACAGCTTCATGGGTTAATTTTCAACGAGATAATTACATAATTAGCCTAATGTCAAAATTGAAGCATAATCCACGTTTTCAAATATTAAATGCAGATAAATGTCATTTTCGCCAGAAATAAAGCAACATACGTCAAACATCTTGAGTGCATCAACATAATTGGTGTAGTAGTCGTACTGGTCTCTGAACTTCTCTAGAGTAGGCGAGGCGTCTGTAAAATAGGCATTACTTCACTACTTTAGTACATAAAGTAGCGTTATATAGCGCTGGAGTTCCTGCTAATTACAAGGTAACTTTTTCTACAATATAACGGTATGAAACCCTGAAACTTTTTTTAATTGAAATTTTTAGATATTAATAAAAATGAAGTCTCCAGTATTGCAAAACCGGTTTGGCAATAATCTGTTATGTTTAAGCCACAGCGACCTGTCAGTGGTAAATATTAAACCCTTAGGCTTAACCAACATATTGCTACATACCGGGTAGAAAAACCATTAAACTTTTTTTTAACAGACTGAAATCAAACGCCACACACCTGCAAAGGATATTAGGAAGTATACCAAGTCTGTACCTCTACATGAAGGTAACTTAAAGATTTGTTAAGCCAGGACAGACGCAGACATGGCCCTTTATTGTCTAAGTAATTATCAAAATAAGGCGCCAAGCCGGGTTTTATGGTCTAAAATTATTATGCCTACTGATGAGAATTAGCAGAACCAACCTGCAGGTGACTGAAATGGCGACAATTTTTCAAATTGATTTTTACAGTACACGTAGTCATTGACTTGAGTGTTAAGCCAAGGATATATGTTGAAATTATCGACGTAGTTGAAAAGCTTATCCGTTGTAATGGGATCTTCTCTTGTCGACAGTAACTCTGTGCTTTTGTCCACAACACCTGTAAATAAATAGGAATTACAACACCTATATACCAGAGACTGCGGGATAACTACACTACTACACGTGCTCATATTACCGAAGCACTTTAAACAATAAGTGTACTGACCGAGACTGCACAAGGAATTTGGCTCCGAGGAGAGCGAGAACGTAGTGGTGTCGCCGGGTTGAGCGTCCGTCGCCGCCCAGGCCAGAGTTACGGGGTTACCCAAACATTTTGCTACTCTCAGCTCCCTGGCGTCCGACACCACCTCTCCGTCCCGTCTCGTGTACCACACGACCACCTGCATGACGAGTCAACGTGGCTCATCATATCCAAACCATGTGTCAGAAAATGGAAAACTACGACGACGATCCTTCAATTTCTGAAGTGCGATTTGGATATACCACCATCACTTGGCAACTACGTGGCTAGCTTAGATAAAGAAATGACGCTAACACCATCAATAGCAGAACTACCAGCAACTGCGAGTAGTGAGAATAGGCACAACACAATGGATCTGTTGCCACTACACTGCTGATATTAGCTCCACTCGAGCTAATAGTTTAGTCTATCCACCCCCCCCCCCCTCTTCACCTGTTATCTCCACATTCAGGCTTATCAGCGTCATCAAACTACGCTCTAGTAACGTTAAATCAACAAAAGCTCAATATTATCAACACTTTAATAACCAATTTGTCCAGTGGACATACATGCTAACAAAGAATAATCATTACTCTGAGCGATGGTGAGAGCAAAAGCCTTTTTGTACAACATACCATGACTGTGGTGGAAGCTGTGGGAGGTAGATTTATGGGAATTTGGATGAAGCCCTTTACTGTGGTGTTGGGGTGACGGGGAAGGGGTGCCACCAAGCCCTTGATAACAGGCAGGTCTTTCTCCACCAGTTCGTACTCTTGCACCTTCCAGAACTGGATCTGACCACGCGACACCACCTGCCGATGAAAATTGTCAACACCAAAGTCATCCGAAGTTAACATATGGACAAGGGTTACAAGATTAAACAAGTTGCAAGGCTGACCTGGACGGCGATTGTAGCAATGACCGGATTTGAAACATAGAATACACTCAGGCTGTATTGCCGAGATTTGCCAGGAATACAGTCCAGCAGTCCACCAGGTGCATAGATTAGCAGTGAAGAGTTTGAAGGAGAGTAGTAGTGCTGCAGGTCTATGGAATAAGTACCTTCCGTCATGCCCGCACGGCAGTTCAACGTCTTCATCTGTCGAATGATATAGTGACAGTGTTTAAAGTTACTTAAACCCAAAATTGCTGGAAACTTAATACGTTAAGGTTAATTTACTCCGTTACCTGTTCTGTAGGAGTGTAATGGATCAACATTTAACCAAGCACATTGAATGCTTCGATTTAAAATCAGACGTGTCTAATAAATGTAAAAATATCTTTTTCTATATTTGGGATTGGAGAAGCCCTCTTAAAACTATGCAGAGGAGGTCTGGTCACTAATGCTGAGGTTATGTATAGAATCCTAAGCAGGACGAACAGACTAATACCTGGTATTCAGGACCTCTCATTCGAGAGGTCCGAAGAGCCAGTGAGCATGGTCAAGACCCATAAAGGCTAAGCAGAAGTTATTATGGGGAAGCACCGGTTTAGAACGCCGGTAGACTAAAGTGCCGGTCAAAGCCAAATGATATAGCCAGCTTTTAAAAATGGGCTTTAAATACACAGGAGTGTAGTGTTTGATCTAGATGGGCACCGATAGAATGGGTAGGCATTTTATGTTTGAGGTGAAGCCAACGAAGGGGCGAAATTCCAACCCAGTGTTACCCAATATCGGGGACACGAAGCCTGTTAGTATTGTCAAAAAGTCCTCCTAGGCCAACGACTGACCTTTCTCAAATGGCATCCAAAATAGTTTCCCCAACTGCCAGGTACCTATTTACCTGCTAGGCGAATCGGGTGAAAGAAATGTGCCCAAATTCTATCCTGCCGTAGGATTCTAACCTGTGACTTTTGTTTCACTTAAAAAATTTCCCAGATGGAAATATTTGTGTAATAATTTTCACACTTTTCCATCTATTGCCCTCACCATTAAAACTTACATTTTTCGGGGTGGGGGACTGCCACTAGTGTTTACTGTGCTTGCAGGAGTGGGTCAACAAATACGAGCCATAACAAAATGTATAAATATTGTATATTTTAATACTCTGGACAATATTGACAATTTTGACTAGAGTAAAATTACCGTTAAATGAGAAATATTAGCTATTAAGGGGGCGAAGTGACAATACGACCCATGGTGTTATGGGTCCACTACAAAGGTAGGTTCCATATTCAAATCAAAGCTGCTACAATTAAATCTGTTTAACATGTCAAAGAAAGCAGTACTCACGAAGAGCCTTTTAGTGGCGTAGGAAGGGAGGACAACGGTAAGGAGACCATCTGGAGGGGTGACCATCACTGTACACTTCCCGGCAGCGCACGCCTCTACGGCCACCCCGGAGGCTGGAGACTTGTCTGGCAACTCTGCTCTCACCTGTACATTACACATTAATATTTCCTCCAAATGGCAATACTTTGATAAAATTAAGAGGCTTTGGGTATTTGCTACAAAAACTAGGAATTAACCGCTTGAACTATAGCTGTCTAACTTACCTGGAGTGTGAAGGGCAGGTAAGGCTTCATGTACTTGTCCTGGTAGACGGGCGTGAGGGAGACTTGGGTGCGGGAGACAGGGAGGGTAGCCTCGCCCGTCAGCTCCACCCCGGTGCCCTCCTCAGTCACCCGCGCCACCGCGTGCACAGAGTACACCTGACAGTCTATCACTTGCATTTCCTCTGCATTCACTACAAATTCGCTGCATTCTGATATCTGTCAGAAACGGTAATCTTTAAAAAGAAACCGAATGATATTTAACCTTATATTTAATGTACATTTACAACAGTAATGTACAGATTTCAGGGTCCGTGTCTCTACAACGTAGCATACTAAAAATACTAATCACCAGTTACTGGACAAATCTAATAACTATTTAGTATTTTATAAATGAAATTTATGGAATTTATTTCACACAATGTTGCAACTAACACCATTTTTATTAAATAGCTTGCCGTGAGTTTCTGAAATGTACACATTTTCTACCAAATGGATGTTACGACTGAGGGAAAATAAATGCACCAGTATGAGAATCAAGTTAGGGTTAGGGGGGGGGGGGCCGTCAAGAAGAAAAAGGGGAGGCTGTGAGAAGAGGTTAACAATTAACTCACCGTATTGGTTTTCGTGACGTTGAAGAGACATGACATTGTCTGACCATTATCGACCTGTAGCTTTACCGCGCCCTTCACTGGTTGACCAAATGTGTATCTGAAAATGTACCAAACAATACACAAATTTGAATATTATGCCTGAATTACTAAACTAGATGTATATCTAAACCCCTTTAATGGAAAATTGGGGAGGGGGGTTTTCCTATTAGTTGTACAGTTAACATTGATAACTTCACTGGCTTACCGTGCACAAACAGTAAAGTTGAAGTAGCTGTCCGTAGCCAGGCTGTAGTCGTTAACCAATACCTCAACTTCAAAGCGTGGTAGAACGTATTCTTTCACACCAAAACTATAGACATGTTTTGCCGACGCCGATTCCACGTGAATGGTATAGGTACCCTAAAACGATTTTTAGATTCATTAATCTAAATCTGTCTCCGCCGATTAAAATCTGTTTAAGGCTGATCTTCCCCATGCTCATCTTTTTGCAGTACATTCTAAACTAGTAAATATCCTGGGGGTGGTTACTCCACCCACCCCCCCCCGTTAACGCAAGTTTTTGGAATTACCTGTTCGGGTTCGTTAGCCACCTGTAGGGAGAGATGAACGAGGCCTCTGGAGTTGTCCACGTTAGTCCACTGAGCAATGCGGATGTCAGAAGGGGTGCTGACCCACACTCGCGTGTACTGGAGGATATGGAAAATATGGGTAGAAGACTACCGAGCCTAGTATTTTAGGACAAAACCATATCTAATTTATCAGGAGACCTTTATGTTTGGCACTCTGTAATTGCACGTCTTTAAATACTTTATACCGCTAGTTATTTGCAGATGACAGTAATAATCTATGGTAATAACGAAGTCGGTTAATTATATAAAAGGCACAAGTCTGGAACAGACATGAGGGAGAAACATCCTGCAGGCAGTGTAGACGAAAGATTAAGAAGCTTTGAAGAAAAAAATAATCTCTAGAAACCTTGCAGAAGCAGATGGTAAATCAAATCCGCAAAATATTGAGGAAAGTCCGTCTCATTTGGTCATCCGGAAATTAGTCTTCGTGGTGTAGTGTTAAGACACTTGCCTGGCGTTCCGCGAGCCCTGTCATGTGTTCTTATCCTGGCCGGGGAGGATTTACTGGGCGCAAATCCTTAACTTTAGCCTCTGTTTCACGCGACAGTAAAATGGGTACTTTGTTGTAAATACGATTCTTCGTGGGGGTCTTATTCCAGGGACCTGCCCGAAACGCTACACATACTAGTGGGCTGTACAAGAGTAACAACTCATATCTCAAAAGAAAGAAAAGAAAGTTAAAAGGCGAAAAACAGGCTCTAAACATTTCCCTGGTAGTGAGCTTGGGAAATCCTGAAGCAAAACGCAAAACCAAACCATCCGAAACCATTTGCGCACCATGGTACGCAAAACCATCTTAAATCTTTTACAGAAAATATTTAAAAATTAATAAAATTTCCCAGATCACAAAAAAAATATGAAGGAATTAGGAAACGCAGATCAAATGCTAAGCTAATGACAAGTTGAGGGTAGTTGATCAAAATAGAGAAAAAATACTTCGCTTAACGAGGCAGAAATAACCATCAGAATATCAACAAGCAGCAGGTACAAAACCAAAGAGACAAACTGAAGAATTATGTGCAGTGCACAGGAACAATTCTCAATTCACCGGTAAATTGTATATTAATGCCCGAAGTACAGTAAGTAAATAATTCACTATGCACAAACAAAATCCCGACATCACTAGGCTCTACGAAACATGGACGAGAAATTACACAATTGAAGGTGAATTTCATTTCCAGGACACTTTTCACTATCAGAATGGACAGATCACGAGTCAGTGGTGGAGAGATACTATAGAGGAGGCCTTTACTGCAACAAGCAAGAAGAAATTAAACTTAGGATCTTCAGAATCTGTATGGTGCCAAATACTAGCTCAAAATGGCAAACTGACAGTGGCAATATGGTACAGGATAGACAGCAACAGCAGATGAAGTTGCAGATCTGCAATAGAGTGGGCATATTTAACATGCCAAGCAGAGGGAGAATTTCTTTACCTGGTACAGAACACTTCGATACAATTTCGATCTTCTCTGAATACAGAAGTGTAAGAAGATACAAGAACATTTTAACGGTAAGACAGGGGTCTGGTAGCTGAGCTGACAGCGCGCAGGACTATTCTGTGGCACTTTTTAATAAAATAATAGCTAGTTACAGTTGATTGACAGTTGAGAGGCGGGCCGAAAGAGCAGAACTCAACCCCCCCCCCCCCACAAGAAAAGATAGGGGCAATAACATTTACTTAAATTCGAGTTTGGCAACATGGTAATGTTAAATTAGAGGTAGAAGCCAACTCCTTCTTACAAACTTATGAAGCAAATTAATGTGGATATTGTCATGAAGCAGGAATTTAATCATTCGACTGATGCTTCAAGTCGCAGTCCTCATATATAAATATATTTTGTTTACAAAGTTCTTTAGATCAATTTGTATCGTTGTGCCAAATGGTTTACCCAATTGAGATTTCACACAACTTAAACCTTTCTGAAGATATACTGTAGTACCGATTAGAGAAAAGATTCTTACGTTTTGAGTAGAGACGTGCATGTAGGGTCCGGTGATGGTGAGAATCCTGAACTGAACCGTTTGACCTGGTAGGTAAAAGGCCTTATCTGTCTGGATGAAGGTGATGGGGTTCGTGTGCTTGAGGCTGATGATCCCGGTATGGTTGACTACTGAACCACCCACTTGACCCGTCACCTCCATCCTGCCCTGGTAAAGTACCGTTTCCGGTACATATACCTCTTCACACCACGCTCTTTGACCTGAAATTCATAGGAATATTTTACAAGTCGTGCATCTGAAGGGGGATAATGAGCTATATTCTAAATTTCCTTCTAACATTTAGTAACTAAGCCTGTTATTCTTTGCCAATAAATCAATTTCGTCATGACGTCCCTGCCACCCAAGTGGAGACATCCACTGGAGGCTGTACAAGTCTAATATTCTTAACATTCATGTCCACATGAATAAGTTCCTCCAATGCAAAAATGCATGTAGAAATTTAAAGGTTCCAATAATAATTGCACCTTTAGTTTATGATGTTTTTGGCCTAGTAAGCATGAAAGTTAAAATACAACCTACTCTGCATTAACTCCAATAGTTACTTTAAAATTATTCTCATTATTTTTTCCAATAAACAGCTTTGAAAGTTCATGTCAAAATAAATACCCTTTATAACAGATTTAGTTCCAGTAACTTCTGAACACAAGTACAAATATTTTTCCTTTATTTTATAATGTAAATGATTGTATTGTATATCAGTTTACAAGGGAAAATACTATTTATATATAGTTCATATGATTCTCGGTAAACATTTTTCCATATAACAGTATGAACCGCAAACTTCAAAAGGTATACTCTATCCTGCCTCGCAATAACTTCAATACTTTGTCCACCGAGTAACCCTACAGATATCAAATTTAAGCTTTAAGGCGGCAGAAAAGTTTAAAGTTGCAATTTGAGCAATAAACTAGGTTATCAAATTAGTTACATCAATTTTATCAGGCTACATAACCAAATACATTCAGTAGTAAGTGGTAAAACTTATTCAAAATCTACTAGTCACTTGCGTTAGTCATTTTATGCATGCATTTTCAGTCTATCGTCACCCCAGCCCTACAGTTGTCCACTTGCCTGCGGGAAAATTCAGAACCGTCGTCAGCACGGTCCCCTGTTCATCTGGAGAGGGTTGGGTGCTCTCGAGGAGCACGTTGAGGACGCCGGCGGGAGGATTCCCAAGAAGGAAGGCGCACACTTTCGTCCTCTCCCCAACCGTCCACTGACGCGGCGTGGTGAGCACGTAGCCTCTGTCATAATTGTATTAAATAAAAAAACTTATATAAACACTGACCCCATCGTATAAAATTTTAAAAAGGATCACATTACATGCTCAACCGTTTTAAATTAATTGTGTAACTGCTTTCGAGGGTAGTTACACGGCTCTTATGATTTCCCATAGTTGGGGGAAGTAAAATAATTTTTAGGCAGAGCACGAGCATGGAGGACCCCCCCCCCTATCCTAAGCCGAGCCCCAGTAGGTAATTACGTATACACCTTATGTTTTAACTAATCCATCCTCCCTTAATGATAGTAATTTTCATAACTATTGGGTCGAAAGTATCTATGACGATCTGAAAAGTCTGGAAAATAAAAGCTTAAACCCAAACTTAAATATTTATAGGCCTAATATAGCACGTGTGCTATATTAAAACGGAGTCCTAGGAGAGGTTAGGTCTATGTTGCCAACGACAAAGAAAATAAGTTTGTCCAAATACAATAATACAAAACTCTACCATCAGCTGGAGCATGACGTTATATTGGCACTTTCGAGCAAATAATTACCATATATATTTAAATTTTAGGAGGATGGGCTGGTTTTAACTAATATACTTACCCATAGCAAGAGTTAAAAAGAAATATGGCGCTGAACACAAATAGAAAGGTTCCTGCCATGGTCACAGGTGAAGCCTAACTAACATACCAAACTGTCCTCCAGCCCGTCTTCATAAACGAAGACCCAAAGTACATTCCATGCACCCGTCACACCCCCTGTTTATGAATGATTTTTTTTTTTTTTTACACACGATTCACAACTGATGACGTCCGAACACTTCCGGAACATGTGATTTGCTGACGACTTTTGTTTGAACCACAATGCTGTAAACAGCTCGTCCTCTGAACGAAGATCCAAAGTCCATTCCATGCACCCGCCAAACCCCCTGTTTATGAATGAAAAACGGTTTACATACGACTCACAATTGATGACGTCCAAACACTTCCGAAACAAGTGATTCTCTGACGACTTTTGTTTGAACCTCAACGCTGTAAATCCTTCACCCACGTACTATAAATACAAATAATCGGCAACAGAATCTAAACACCTAACCTATCCAGTGCCTAAATATGCACATTACACTAATATATAAAATATTTATTTATATTTGACAAAAGTTATATTCTGAATGAAATATTTTGAATGTTAAAATTGATAAATGCGTCTTTGGGGTCGACCGCTGGATGGAATGGACTTGGTCTGAGGACAGGGTGTGTAAGTCACGTGTAAATAGTTTGTCATTCTATTTTGTTCAACCCGACGATGTTCATCAATGCGTACAATATCTCACTGATAAAGTGGTTTGGAATATGGTTAAGTTCTGTATATAACTAGCTGTTATTGCCAAATGATTATCATTGACACAAAACTTGAATGTAACCTGAGCAAGCTGGCGACCAGCCGAGCTGTCTTCCACACCGTCAAGTGATTAACCATCAGTTGGCCTTCACCTGTATCATGGCGATAACCTCGGCAGTATTACTGTCCGTGTTTGGCGTCATATTCTTGTTTACGTCGTGCTATGGGCAAGTACTCTATTTTATGTTTCGTTAATAATGATAAGGGATGTACGTGTAGTTTGTTTTCCATTTGGTAACTAATATATAGGACAGGGACCACCGTTTGGGACGCCCTTTAGTACGACCAGGGGAAGGGGACGTAGAGGCAGGCCCCGGGTGGTAGAAATAGCCTTAGCTACTCTATCCCTTTTTGAGATATATATTTTTTTCTCAATACACATACTTTAACTTGAGGCAAGTTCCCCACTGGCACCAAGGAGTCTTGCACGACTCTGAGAGCCTTGACAGAGCTACAGCTTTGATTTCGGTGGGTATTTTCTTGCTAGGTCTTCTCGGATCCATAGTACTAATAATTTTTCTCTAGGAGCCAAAACATTAATTCAAATTTAATGGTCCATAAGGCAATAGATCAAAACTTTTCTTTTAAATTTTTGTTGGTTAAAATTTTTATTCGACGATGAATTAGGTTTATTGCTTAAATGCTTAGACTTCTTTGAACTATAATAAAGCGCTTAAAATGTTTGCAAGTTGCCTGTACCCCGAATGTTGATGGGCACGCTAATGCCTTTGACTTTAATAAGCGAATATTGATAGAATAAAATTTTATAATATGCGTGGAGGAAATGTCATATCTGACTCTAGAAGAGAGAACCTTTACGAGTAATTATCGGGAAGAAAGCGCTAGACCATTAAGAGTATATAACGCTTGGAAGGGATAAGAGGACAAGAACTTGTTAGGACTATTGAATAGTGCCCAACCACTTGGACTGTTGGACTGAACCCAACCTGCAAGAATAGGCAGAAGGTCTACCGTAATCAAAATGGTCGGGACGATCTCTAAAGCCTATTCATTTATAATGGCTTCAATATACAGGTCCCGTAACTATATTTGTATATCTCGCTAGCAGGAAGGCTATAAATTGGAGAATTGGAGCCATACAGATTCTAACCTGCGCACTGTACTTTCAAACACACGCCTCTGACCCCTACTCGACGACATGGTCAAAAGCAATGCAACCTGAAATGCGACTGAAGTCTGTATGGGGTTTAATAGTCTTTGGATCCTAAAACAGGCTTTAAAGAATACTAAAAGATTGTTGAAGCCCAGGTTGTATTACTTTTAACCATGTCGTGGTGTAGTGATCTAATGCGTATGCTTGTAAGTACAGTGTAGGCTCGAAACCTTGTGGTTCTAGATTTTCTGATGCATCTAGCTAGTGATTTTAATTGTACACTAAATTAATAACAATGCTTGGCATGTGCATACAATTTATTTTTATGGATGTAAATTTAAATTTTTTTTTCTAGAGGCTACGTGATCACAACGCCGCGAGAATGGTCTACCGGGGAGACCACCAGGGTGTGCCTCTTCTCCATGGGCACACTTCCAGTAGGTGTAATAAACATTAGTCTAACAAGCCCAAGGTCGTTAGACGAGAAGCAAGAGATCATAATACCAGAGACGACGTTGAATTTCCCTGCAGGCAAGTAGCTAGTATGGGTGTGGGAAGAGCTATACTGATGGAACCTAATGTTATGTTAAAGAGTAGGCTTTTAGTAGTCTAGACTAACCGTTAACTTGGTCTGGAATGAGACCATCCGTAGCCTAAAATTGGTAAATTGATTGCAGGTCAGAAAGCTTCGTGCTCAGAGCTTCACGTGCCAAACACTACACTGTACGAGGGCAAGATAGCGGTGACGGGTCAAGTGGGTGGTTCAGTAGTCAACCATACCGGGGTCATCAGCCTCAAGCACACGAACCCAATCACCTTCATCCAGACAGATAAGGCCTTTTACCTACCAGGTCAAACGGTTCAGTTCAGGATTCTCACCATCATCGGCCCCTACATGCACGTCTCTAATGAAAAGGTAAGATAGGGTAATGATTTAGAACGTCAAACGGTTCTAGTGTAGTGTACGAAAAGTGTAAAATTACGAATGAAAGTGTAAATTGAATATAGAGTACTATAGCTTAATATGGAACCTGGTAGAATGGAAAGTCGTTGGAAAAGTGAACTGGCAAAAAGATAAACGTACATATAGCTTTGTTAGTTCTTGACTAACGGTTGATGGTAAACTGAAAGTCAATGAGGGAATAAGACGCGGAAGGCCAAAGTGGTGGGCAGAGATGGTGAAAGTTGGAACCAGACAATGTATGGGATGAGACATGGTGAGGCTGCTTTAGGCGGTAACTATTAGTGATGCTATAATTTGTATGTGGCTACTTTTCTTTAATATTTTTCCCCACTTCTTGACTCCTTGAGCCGACTCTTAGGCGGGGGAAGAGATGCTTGACTTGTATCGCATGCATGATTTAACGTATGTTTTGTTGAACTAATTTAGTTAAAAGGGCTAATGTGGAAAGGAATGAGTCAAAACTTAAAGCTAGAAGTTAGAATAAATGGATCATATTGTTAGTATTGCAGAAATATTTTTTTTACCGTTTAAAAGTATATGCGCACAATTTAGCGAATGACCTACAGCAAAGACCCATATGCTAGAGGTAAACACAAGCTGCTAAACTGTATCTACTAAAAGCTTTAATTATTAGCAAAAATTGTTTAGCCCTTTGACCTGTGGCTCTCCCGTAGTATACACTGGTGTGGGTGACGACGCCGTCAGACACCCGTGTGGCGCAGTGGAGCGAGGTGGATAACACGGGTGGCCTGGTCCACCTCTCCTTCCAGCTGGCCGACGATCCCGAGCAGGTAAGGACACGATAAAGATTACTTGCTGTTGGAACGGGCAATGTTTTGACAACGGCGTGGCTAAATATGTACTTTAATATTCTAAGAATACAAATCTTGGAAAAGTTTATCGGTAAAAGGTAAAAGCAGTAAATGGGTACCGGGGAGTTAGTCAGCTGTCACGGGCTGCTTCCTAGGGGCGGAGGCCTGGTCGAGGACCGGGCCGCAGGGGACACTAAAGCCCGGAAATCGACTAAAGAAAAACGGGGGGGGGGGGGGGGGGGAATTTGCTGCTTTCCTGCTTTTGTTATTTGCAGACAATATTTTTCTTTAATTTGAGGATAGCGTTTTCCTGCAGCTCTAGACTCGAATAATTTCTAGCTTTTAAATGGTGTAGACTATTGTTTTAAATTCGGCTACTGGAACAATTTCAATGTAGCACGGGCTGTGGTGAGCCCGTAATTGTAGACATTTCCAGAATACAATCTTCCCCCAGTTATGAATAGCAAGAATGGGAAGATACTGGATACTTAGTTTCTCTAAAAAGGCGGTCAAATAAACATTAACTGCCGTGCTAGATAATATTTTTTCTATTTTAGAGGGTGCCTAGTGTCGTGTCGCTCACTATGGACTGGTGTTCATCCCCGTAAATCATCCAGTGCACAAAAGTCGGCCCTGCACCCCGGCCCCCCCCCCCTCCCTCCAGACTAAATCGGGGTTTGGATTCTATATTTAATAAACTACAGGCGTGTTGTAATCAGAGCTGGGACAGATTTACTGAAATGCTAACATTCGTGAAGTTATCACAAAAAATGGGATTCTCCCGGATCCCTGGTTTAACACTGTGACATTGATTTTTTTTATATATTTTCCTCGCGTAGGGAACGTACACGATCCATGTGGACTCTGCCCAGGGCAAGCACTTGAAGACCTTTGATGTGAAGTACTACGTTCTGCCACGCTTTGAGGTGAAGGTAACCGCTAACAAGTACGTGCTGGTCGCAGACAGGCACTTCAACTTCACGGTTTGTGCAAGGTGAGGTATTTAATTACGCTTAATAGTTTTAAGGAAAACAAAAAGCCCTTGGATGACCTGTTAACAAATGTGTGGTTGTCAGGTACACGTTCGGTCAGCCAGTGAAGGGCTCTGTGCGCCTGGAGGTGAACAACGCTCGGAGGAAGAAGTGCTTCGTCAGCATAGTTAAGAATGGCACGGTCAGTACACCACAAAATTGAGGAAATTGCGGAAGGCGTATTGACTTGTGCACATGCGTGACACATTTATGCTAACTAAACTTTTTCATATAATGTAACTTGATACTAGATCCCATGGCAATTGATATCTGGTAATTTGTTCCTTTTAAGTTTCCAAACTATTAACTCCAGGTCTCTTCATAATCTTATCAAATTTACACCTTCATCCACTATTTTAACTTTAAATGTAAGTTAAGCTTTCCTCTTCTACAATAGGCCTGT